CTGGCTCCGCACCCTGACTCCGGAGAGGGGGCTGGAGGGCTGAGGGAAGGGAGACCGTCCCCCCAGCGCTCGTGAGCCACTGGCGAAGCACGTAGAGTCTGCGAGCCGGAAGGCAGCGCGTCCCGGACTGGCAGAACTCGTGCAGTCACATCCGGGGAAGGGAAAAAGTGCTCTTTTACTGATGTTTTGGTGGCACTGAAAAGTACCGTTGTTATCGGGGCCCCGCCCTCCAGCGGGGAAAGAGCAAGTTTCCTCTTCTCCGGATGGCCTGTCTCAGGGACGCTTCGCGGTCCGTTTACCGGACTTAACGGCGCCCTGGGCAGGAGGGGCTGCCTGCTTTCGAGGTGAACGCCGCGCCCGCTTGGCCGGAGGCGCAGGCGGGGGCGGGGCAGCACTCGTTGGCGGGCACCCTCGGCGAGGAACAGCGGAGGTGGATGGCTCGGCGGGCGGAGCGGGCTTACGGCCACGCCGATAGATGACATTGCCCATCGCATCCGACTGCTCTTTCACCGCCTTGAATTCCTGGGTGAATTCACCGACGGTGTCGCCGAACAGGCCAGCCTGGGATATGGGCGAGTCAAGAAAGCGAACTTTGTCAACGTCGCGCATATCGGCCAGGTTTAGCCAGAGGTGGCGTTCCTGAACCACAAGTGTGGACATCGTCCTCCCCAGCGCACACGCGGCGGACTTAGTAGTCCGAAGAGCATAGTCGGTCGCGGTGCGCAGCTCATGTAATAAGCTTGGGTTGGACCCGCCCTCGTGCAGCTCGGCCAGCGCCTGCGCTTGGTAGCGCTGGTAGGTGGCCATCGCGTGCAAAGCAGAAGCAGCCTGGCCCGCAGCCTTATAAGCTCTGGCTCCGAGGGAGGCAGACAACCTACAGGCTTTGGACGGGAGGCGGGGCAAACCCCGCCACGTAGAGGCGCCGCGCGGACAAAGATTGACCGCGATAGCGCGCTCCACTGACGGGATCGCCTCATACCCCCTGGCAGCTCCGCCGTCAAGGGCGGTGAGGGCGGAGGCACTCGCAGCACGGGCAGAGAAAGGTGCCCTCCAGGACTGCGTGAGCCTACTGTGCACTTCCGGGAAGAAGGGGACGAGAGGCTTCGAAGGCTTCGCCTTCTGGTCCTCTACGTAGCACCCATCTAGTCGGTCCGGCCGCGGAGCTGGGGGATAAACCATCTCCAACCCCACGGCCGAAGCAGCCCGGGAAAGCACGGCTAACATGTCCGCTTCAGGATCCGATTTGACAGCGCTCACCTGCCCGGAGGGGGCGAGCGGGTCCGGATCTTCGTCGGACAGTGAAAGCCCACCCTCCGATGCCGCGGAGGACATCTGATCTCCGGTGTCAGCGAGTGTGAGAGCTACCATCTGGTTAGACGGATCACTCTCACCACCCGAAGCTTGGATGGAGCGCCGTGAGGAGCGAGAGGTCCGCGAGCCCGTGGGCGGCGGATTAGCTCCCGCTGAAACCCTCAGATCTGCCCGAGCGCCCGCTGCTTTTTTAGAACAGGAGGCAACTGGGGTGGCTCGCTCTCTTGCGAAAGTTAGCCGCGATCTTAGCTGTGCAACGGTCATGGCATCGCAATGACGACATGAACCGCCCGCGAGCACCGCATTAACATGCTGGACCCCCAAACATGCAATGCAGTGATCGTGTCCATCATCCGGAGACAGGAAACCCCCGCATCCAGAAACGCACAGTCGGAGCGCCATCCTGAAAAGGACGTGCTGCACGACTGTGTTGCTCTTTTAGGAAAGTTGCAACTATACGCACCGCTCTGGAGGACCGGACCCAAAGAACCGCAGGCAAGGGAGTAACCCAGCTCGACCGTCTGCCACCGCGAAGACCCACTCTGGACCGGGAGACACACTCGTTCGCTCTGAAGTGCTGATCAGCAAGAGGAACCCTCATCGACTCACTCAGAAAGGATCTGAAGCGAAAAGGATGGCGTCTGCTGGCTTCAGGTGTGCTTATATGCTGAGATGATTGCAGATGTCGCACACCTGCGCAAGCTTACGCTGCCAATTAATTTCATTCATTGGCCCGTTCAATACTCTCCAGATAAGCGGCTTCTGATACGAATCCTCCCATTCATGGCACTGAAGTTCCCCAACCGAAGGGGAACAGGATCTGCTGTATGTCCTCTATTGTTGTTTAGAGGACTGTTCAGATGTCGTGTCTAAGCGTTATACACTTAACATATATTATACTTTAGTTAATTTTTTCCACAACAAAAGGGAGCGTACATTAATCAGTGTTACAAAAGAAAGTAAATACATCCAAACCCGCCCAGACTAGTTTTCATTGGTGGTCCCCTAGCCAGATACTAAAGGTGCAGTATGTAAGTTTGACACTCAATGGTTGAACTAGAAATTGCACACATGCAAGCGTAGGTTGCCAGATTGATGACATCAACAGGAGTGTGCATCAAGTCTAAAGGCTGATTTAAGGCTGATTTAAACAGTGTTCTAAGTAAAAGTTATGGTATGCGATAGAAATAAGATTTTTTTTGTTAATAATTAGTTTTTGTTTTAGAAAACCCTTTAAATAAATATTTTAGAAACGACTTATGTGTCTTGCAGCTGAACAACAGAAAATTGACAAGTGTAAGTTTGAATGCATTTATTGACATTTATTGCCATTCTACTAAAAGCAGCAGCAGATAGTTCACCTCATATCTTGAAAATAAAATGAATCACTTGAAATTGAACTTCAGAAATCAGCATGTACATTTAATATCGTTAAAGAGGTTTATTTTGTATTAATTAGATTATAAACCTTAACATTTAGGTATTAAGTTCACTATTATATGCTTCTGAAAGGCTGTATATGAATTTCTACCATGTTTCATCTGGTGCAAACAGCCAAATTGCTTATCACGTCATGTAGCGTGTTGTTAGGACACGAGGTTACAATGTATCCTGCTCACCTAATGTTTATGTTCGTAATGTTTACGTTATATGCTAATTAATAATTAATTAATATTATATGCTAATTAATAACCGACTCACTTTGGAGGCTGCCACTGGAGGTTGCATTTTGGTCATGGACATACTCTTCTGAAATACTCTTTGGGCCCTATCATAAACCCGGCGCAATGCAGCACAAGGCGTGACGCAATTGTTGTTTGCTACTTTCAGCTTGGCGCAAGAGTCGTTTTGACATTTTGCACCACGCTGTTTAAATGGCAAACGCATTTGCGCTCAGATGTGTGCCCATAGGCGTTGTAATCTAAAAAAGGATGTGTGTTGAGGCACATTAATGGTGTGTGCTATTTTGAGAAACTATAATAGATTGTTCAATAGACCAGAACAAAGCTGGTCTATTGTCTAGCGCAGAACGCATTTGTTGCCTCGCTTGCACATTGCTTAATACACACAGGGGTGTACAGCAATACGCAAATATCTTTACAAATAAAAATAAAAAATTACACAGTTAATAAAATATTATACAGATAATTAAAATAATATACAGTTGAAGTCAGAATTATTAGCCCCCTTGAATTATTCGACCACTTGTTTATTTTTTTCCCCAATTTCTGTTTAACGGAGAGCAGATTTTTTCAACACATTTCTAAACATAATAGTTTTAATAACTCATTTCTAATAATGGATTTATTTTATCTTTGCCAAGATAACATTAAATAATATTTTACTGGATAATTTTCAAGACACTTTTACACAGCTTCAAGTGACATTTAAAGGCTTAACTAGGGTAATAAGGTTAAATAGGCAGATTAGGGTAATTAGGCAAGGTATTGTATAACAATGGTTTGTGTTGTAGACGATCAAGAAAAAATATAGCTTAAAGGGGCTAATAATTTTTTTCCCTAAAATGGTGTTTAAAAATTTAAAACTGCTTTTATTCTAGCTAAAAATAAAACAAATAAGACTTTTTCCAGAAGAAATAATATTATCAGACATACTGGGAAAATTTCCTTGCTCTGTTAAACATAATTAAGGAAATGTTTAAAAAAAAAAAGAATAAAAATTTGAAAGGAGCTAATAATTCTGACATCAACCTTATATCGGATATAATAAGGATAAAGAATTAAAATAGTGCACAAAATATGTGATATGGCATGTGAACATTGGGCATTCGTCTTCAAAACAATATTATGTTGATCACAATTAAGTACGGGTACTGTTAGCAGTGGAAAAGTAAGCCTGTATACTGAACTATAACGCACCGCTTAGTGGAAATAAGGCATTCTTAAACCTTCCTAGTATTCATTCATAATAAAAATAAAAATAAAAACATAAAAATTCAAATATCTAAGTTTAGATTTTTTTGTGAAAAGTATATAAGGTCACTAATCACCTGATAAATGCAACAGTGTCAGTATATTTTATCGCATAATGATAACTTTATATCTGATAACTATCAATATTGACAGCGAAAATGTATATGGTTTAATGGCTTAATATTTTTAAATATTAGAAATATTTGAAATCTCTGTGTTTGTGTGTTTTTAGCCTTCATTATTTTAAAAAAAATGCAAGTTTAGAATGCAGAAATATGTGTGTGTGGGTGCATATGAACAAAGATGCACTTAATCAAAAAATTAATAATAAATAATAATAATAATACAATACTAGAATCAAAATATATTAAAGTCAGAAAGAAAAGCATCTGAAATACATTTAATGAATTGCATGCTTCCGCTTAGACAAACCTTTTCATACATATTCATCTGGCCCAACTGAGTTATGTTTGACATATGATCCATAAATCATGCTTTTTCATGCATTCAACACTCTTAACAAATCCACAAAAACAAGCACATAGAGCCAAAATGCCCTTATAATGAAATGCAAGTGTTTTATTTTAAAAAGGTGCCACTTGTAAACCCACAATGATTTAATTGTTGTTAAAATCTGACGAGGAAGACGCAAAGGTTTGAACATTCAGGAAACACGAATTAAAGATGGAGGCCAGACACCCACAGCACTAGTGTGTATACAGTGATCGTGCACAGACGGGTCAGGTTGCGTCTTACCTTCAGAAATCAGCATCTGAGACATTAGGACAGGGAGCTTATGGGATGAAAAATTCAGTCATGACATGAGCCTGATGTTCACACTTCCATTTGAAAGATTTTACTAAACAGATCATAATGTTGTGCATTTAGGATTCTAATCTAATTTAAAGGGATAGTTCACCCAAAAATCTGCTGGTCATTTAATCTTTCTAATTAAAGATTTTAATAAAATAGTAAAGATATTAAGTTTAATCTTATTGGTTCTTGCAACCCACAAGATGAATTTATTCTGACAGGGTTTAACAGTGAAAAGCTGAGCTCTAGTCATATTTTTTTGTCATTTTCTGTAGCGAATAAACTGTAATAATGTGAGAAATCATCACAATAATTTGTGACCAGCATTTTCTAAATAATCAAAAACATAGATTTAGCTAAAACATTATTTTTTAATGTTAAATGTTGTATTGCAGATAAACACCTATATCCTGTGTGTCTTGAGGTGAGCAAAATATTAGTTTTCTTGGGTGAGCTATATATCCTTTAAATTAAAATCCGGCTTATACAGTCAACTAAGAATTTGACTTCATCCATATTCAGTTCTACTGGGAATTGATTCAAACTTTCATCAGGAGTCCTGCATACTGCTTTCTAAAGGGATTTTATGAGAGGGCTCAGATATAACCAAACTCTGCTCTAAGAATAAAAGTTAGGACTGGGTTTTGACACAAATTTCACGATTTGATTTGAATTAGGTTTAGAATTTGAAGTTGTTTAGATCTTATTTGATTTGATAGTTGTTGTTTTTTTTTTTTTACATTTGAATACATTTTAGGGACTATTTTTTAATTTCAGTGACATTTTTGTGAAATCAACTACTGTATTGTGAAATATACTGAAATATTTCAGTAGTTTTCATAAATAAAACATCATAAAATATGCTGTAATAAATACTAAACAACAGGTTAAGTAAAAAGCTAACTTTTTTCTACTTAATTATTAAGTTATAGAGACTAGAGACTGTAGAGGGTAAATGCAACATTATTGTTTATTTTTTATTTTACAATATGGATGGTTTTCTCCATTTAAAACATAGTTTGAGCAATTACAAGAGGCATTTTAGAAAGTTGTACTTGTTTTTTGTGTGTGTTTATTTTGTGCTCTAAAATGTTTTCTTCTTTGTTTGAATTGTGGTAAATAAATGCCACATTTTGGAGCATCAAATAATTATTCATTGTTTAAGTTTCAAAAGGCTTTGACAGTGCACAAAGCTTATTATGATTACGGTACAGCAATTTCATTGAAAAAATTAAAGGAAGGTTGATTTGCACATCAGCTTAAAGGATCAGGAAACCCCCGTCTTTCAGTTCACGTCTACCTCAGAATTAAAGGAGCATTGATTCAATAAGTTAAACTGACATCTCTGATATCTACATAGTAGATATGTGGCTTTTGTAGTTTCCCAAATTCTCTTTAAAAGGTTATACATGCTAATTTATGAACAGAGGAATTACCCCTAGAATCAGGTCTGTTATGACCATATTTGGAATGATTGTGAATATTAATGAACTCTGCTCCGATGCACTCACAGCTCAGAGTCTGCTCTCTCTCTTAAATTGTAATATTTAAAGAGTGCTTATTTTAAAATGTAGATACATACATATCTACACTAAAAGGACAAAAAAATGTTGTTTCAATCCACTGACGGATCAGCTAACAGACTCAGCTTTCAAACTCTCCAGTGTCCTCACGAGTGCTCTTGTAAACCGATGATCATTAGAGCCAATCACAACCATATCTGTTAAATACGCATAAACACAATGCAAAAATCTGCAGTTTCCACTCAGCAGCACTCAAAACGCTGCTATCATGTTTTTTTTTAAATATTTCAGTACAGACTCAGTGGTCTGACAGCATTACTGGAACCCTGATCCATAATAAATGGTTTTCGCATGGTCTCACAGCTTGACTGAATAATTCAGAGACAGCGCTTCTCAAACTTCTCATAAAATTTGGGTGAAAAGCTCAAAATTAGCCAGTTATTTCCTACTATTTAATCTAAAAGATTAACATTGTCTTAATTTATGTTCAACACACTGTAAATCAGTTAAAATCTACTAAAATCGAAAGTTCAAAAAAATTAGAAGTGTTTTATGACTCTTTCATGAAAAAAGGAGAGACTTGAGATTTAAGAATCAATATCAGTTCATTAAAATGAGAACTGAATCAAATCAAAGAAATCCTTAGTTTTAACCCAGCCCTAATAAAAATGTGAGAATTTTTTAATTTTGAGTTCAGTTTTACAAAAAGTGAGGATCCTTGCTGCTAGAAACTTGGAAACATAAATAAAGATGTATTTTTCTCTATCCTAATGCAGCATTTGCAGGTTTGTGGTGATTGAAGTGTCATGCATGTGAAGTGATACATATTCTGTGGGAATATTAAATCCAAACCTTTTTGAGCTTTCTTCTTTGTTGGCGCTTTCAGGGTTTAGGCCTTTCCAGACATTTCCAAAAGATGTCTTTGTCATTTCATCTGTGATGTTGACTGTGGATGGATCGTCCCTTAAGAAACACAAACACAAATGCATTTTTAATTGTATACTTATTTACACAATGTTATCCTATGTATTTTGAAAAAAAAGTTCTTCTTCAAGAAGAGAGGAAGCTATTTAAGATTTTTACATGAATTCCAAAGAGGGATAGTTGTAAATGAAATTTTTAAATTAATTTTAATTAAATAAAAAAAATAACTGAATATAATAATTATTGCTTTGAAAATATTTCCTAAAACAAATAGACTCATGTTCAGGATTTAAAAATGTAATGTTATTAACACTTCAATAAGGTTTTTATTAACCTTTCTTTAAATATTTTTAAAGTAGTTATAATATTAATTTGTATGATATTTAAATAATATTAATATATAAGAATTAATTAAATAAAAATAAAATTGAAAATTGAATTTATTTAAAATGACATTTTTAAGTTGAATTTATGTTATTATTACTATTGCTTTAAAAGTCTCTGTAATGTGATGGACACTGACAATGGAATTAAGGATCTAAATGCAGGTTTTTTATGAGAATGGTCAAGCATGCAACGGTCAACAGGGTTAAACAGGTACATTCAGGCAAATCCAGAAGTGTTGTCAAATAACAGGCGAATGGTCAGTACAGACAGCAAGCAATGTAAACAAATAGAACAAAGCAAGGGTCAAACACGCCAAGGCAAGACAAAGGAAACGCAACTTAATGTCACAAAACAGTTAAACAAGACTCAGCAAAATCTGTGTGTTTGTTTGCTGTATAAATAAGAAAAATAAAAATAATAAATAAAAAAGTCCATCTAACTTGTTCATGAGCAGCTCCCAGCCATTTCTGTGTGTAATTAACAGAAAATCGGAACAGGTGTGTGTGTGTGTGGTGCTTGATGGGATTTATAGTTCTTTATGGTTGCAAAATTGTAGTCCACATGAAAGTGAATGTTTTCTTTTCTGATCAGTACATTTTTACATTTTTACATTTTATTACATCAAAGAAAGAAAGTTAATGTTAGCTGTAATATAATTATAACAATTTACTGCTTGCTTGCAGAATAATATTAATATCTTTAAAAATAAATAATTCAATTAATTAAACTAATGAAATCTTACTGACTACAGCTTTCTAAATAAATAAATACATTAAAAAAAAGGCACTAAAAATTGTCCAACTTACTTATAATGTCCTTCTAGGGGTACTTGTACAATCCCTTCATCCTCAATCAAGACACACTGATTCTCCTAAAAGTGAGAGAAGAACACACTAGTCATCTGTTGTTTTAGAACACTATTTTTACTGATTGACCAGTGTGTGTTAGGGTGGTGTTGTTAATACCTCCTGCTGTGCATCTTCCATCTTTTTCTTCTTGCTCTCGGGCATGAGGTCATCGAGCCAGCTGAGATCTCGCTTAGAAAAGACAAAATCCAGCAGCTTACGGATGAAGACGAGAGCCAATACCTGCACAGAAACACACAGACATGTCATCTAATCCAGCAGTAAAATTTGGTAAAAAGTGGCTGACATGATATTGTTGTGAATACAATTTGTGTATGTTCTGGCTTTAAAAAAACATTGAAAACAGGCAAAATTTAACTCTTCATAAGGTCATATTCCCTTTCTGATGTAAAACCACTGATAAACTCTTTTACTGATAACATGTGGAGGATGGAATGGGATGAATGTTATGGGAATCTGTTTTCTTAAAGAGCCTCTTTTATGGGTTTTTGAAAATGACCTTCCACGCAGTGTGTAACAAGTGAAGTGAAATATCCAGCTACGGTTTAAATCTGAAAGTGTGCTGTTTAAAACTATTGATAAATCTACAAAAGAGTCCACTCATCGTGTTTCTAATGAATTGTCTTGATAACGAGACAATGCTAATTTTTATATAATCTTTATATATATATATATATATATATATATATATATATATATATATATATATATATATATATATATATATAAAAATAAACAAAGTATTTAATTAAATACACAAAGCATAGTGTACAGCATTTCCACACCCAAAGACTTAAGAAATGACAGGGGAATCAAAAAAGTGTTATAATAATTAATACATATCATAGATTTTTGGCTTTTTAACAATTTCACTGTAGAAAATAAGTAATATTCGATACAAAAAACTGTTAATGTGGAAGATGATTTAGCAAATGTCTGCTTGTTTAAGTAAAATTATGCAAATAAAAGAGATTAATAATTTATTCAAGACTTTTGGTGGATTTGTTTTCATTATAAAGAAATAATATATTTTGTCTATCTACCTGTAAAATAATAACTGGGTTCTGTAATTTTAAAAATATATTTGGCTAGATCCTTTCAGAAATTGTTTACAATGTCACATTATTCATATTTTTATCCACATTGCAGAAACCACAATGTCAATGTACTTTGATAATAACGATTTTACTGAGTAAATTGTATGTAATATTTAAAATTAAATTTCCTTTCTTTTATTATTAATAGTGTATTTGAAGGGAGTTAACCAGGCTCTTTTCTAATTAGTATTATAATAGAGCTCCAGAAAAATTTGCCTCTAGGAGTAATTTTATATTGCTTCTGAAAAATATTATGCATATGTTTGTTATTTTTTATCAGTCAACTCAACACCTTCTAAATGTAATTTTGGGTTTACAACAGATAGAGAATTTTAGCAAATATTATTTTTAACAATTTGAATATTTTTGCAAGAATAAATTTAATGGTCAGAAGATTTGATGAGAAATCCATTGAGGCAGAAGTGACAAACTGACAACTATGGATATTAATCCATATATACAGTTGAAGTCAGAATTATTAGCCCCCCTGAAATTGTTTATTTTATCCCCAATTTCTCTTTAATGGAGAGAAGATTTCTTATAAACATTTCTAATCATAATAGTTTTAATAACTCATTTCTAATAACTGATTTATTTTATCTTTGCCATGATGACAGTAAATAATATTAGACTAGATATTTTTCAAGACACTTCTATACAGCTTAAAGTGACATTAAAAGACTTAACTAGGTTAATTAGGTTAGCTAGGCAGGTTAGGGTAATTAAGCAAGTTATTGTATAACGATGGTTTGTTCTGTAGACTATTGAGAAAAAATATAGCTTAAAGGGGCTAATAATTTTGTCCCTAAAATGCTAAAAAAAAAATGCTTTTATTCTAGTCGAAATAAAACAAATAAGACTTTCTCCAGAAGAAAAAATATTATCAGACATACTGTAAAATTTCCTTACTCTGTTTAACATCATTTGGGAAATATTTTAAAAGAAGAAAAAAATTCAAAGGGGGCTAATAATTCTGACTTCAACTGTAAATATTAATATCTTCTAAATGCAAATTCTTTCACTGTTTTAACATACTGACACTAACATCTAAAAAACTATATTTTAATTTCACAGGAACTTTAATTAAGGAACAAAAGAGAAAACATTCACTGCTCTTGAAATTGAATTGACTAAATCTGAATTGATAACCAGTCCTAATTTCCTCAGCTCTTGGTGATCATGCACACACTCAAATACATATAAATATAGGTGTCCTACCATCATTGGAAAGACTATGGCGGCTCTGGAGGTTTTAATGACCCAGAGAAGCACCAGGCAGCTGAGCTGGATAATGGTGAACATGTGGACTTTTCTCAGCGGAACGTGTCTCAGATAGATAAAATCAGGCTGGTGTTTCGCCGGCATCCCAAACAGCTTCAGGCGATCAAAGAACTGAATGGCAAACACAAACACATCTAAATATGGTCAGAACTACTGTAAATAGTTTGAACCTGAAGTGCATCTAGACACAATTTAGTCCTTTTTGACAAAAACTATTATTTGGGATAGAGTTAAAATAAGATATAAATATTACATGATAAATATTAATTGAAAAGAAAGCGATTTCTTAAGTGATTTCTTAAGAAATGTAAAGCTTAAAAAAAACATAAGTACACATTACAATACAATTTACGTTAAAACAACAAATGAGATAAAGCTTTTTTTATTTACATAGATTGACAAAATTACCAACATTACTAATAAAAAATTCTAGTTAAAACTGAAATCTGGATAAAATTGAGTGTTGTTAACTAAAACAAAAACAAATTGAAAATATAAATATCTAAATTTAAAAAAACATAAATAATACATACAAAAAAAAAAACTTAAAAATATGTTTTAGTGCTAAAATGTATACAAATATACACTACTAAAATTAACACTTTCATATACTACATATGTTTAATATATAATAATGTCAATTCAATGAATACTACAACAGCGCATATAAATAATACTAAAATAACACTGGCACATAAAAAAAATAAAAAAATTTAAACTGATCCAAAATATTAATAAATATTAATGATTACAATAATATGGATTTCTAAACCAAGAATTAATCCCCTTCTTTACTTTTAAATACAGCTTTTAAAATCACAGAAATAAAATGTATTTATACAAATTTTCAAAAATATTAAATATGAGAGAGAAAAACATATTTTAAGTATTGTAATATATTTTAAAACAATACCATAATAGCAAGCAAACAATATTAATTAAAATATGAATACAGCGTCAATTAAACATGAAAGAACAGAAAATTAAGCACAATTAAACTTTCATCACTGAAAACTAAAACTGCATTTTAATTTAAATTAAAATACAGAACAGTTCTTTTAAATTTTAATAATACTTTTGCACTAGGAAATCCTAAGTATTAACTGATAATATATAAAGTGAAACAAATTAACCAATACATGCAATTTTAATAAAAATGTAAAAACACGTTAAACAAAGCATATTACAAAATTACCAAAACGTAAAATTAAAGCAACCCTGGCTCATTGGAAATTTGTTCTGGGTAAAACGAACGCTACAGTTTGTTCTTTTCACACTACTGACATTTACAGGAACATATTAATCAACGAATAAAGGGTTGTTTACACACAGTTCTATGTTTAGCATGGAATAAATACCATAAAAGCAATTTAAGTGTACCTGTAATGCGTAATTGAACATGTTTATTTCTATATGAACAACTTTCCCGGGATGGTCAGTTTGCTCCGTAGCTCACCTTGTACTGTGTCAAACTCAGAATGCAGAGCAGACCAGGTTTGAGTCCAGCAAAGGACGGTTCATGAAACCAGGTAAAAAAAAAAAAACATTGTGAAATCATGGTAAAACCATGGTTATCAATTATCTCTTCTTGTTTGCTTTTGAAAATACTATCAGTTGGATTTTACCCACTAAAAGCCTCGACTTCTTATGGACTTGAACGAGAAGGACATGTAAATTGTACGTATAAGAAAGCAATACATTTGAAATTTGCAAAAATGTAGACAGTTGACGTGGATTTGTCAACACAAACTGCAAGCAAAAAGCCCTGGGCTTGTATTTCCAATGAGCCTGCGTTGAATTAAAAAGCATTAATACATTTGATATATTTTTACTATGTGCATAATACTAAATAATGTAAGATAAAGAAACAATTGTGAGACATGGTTGATTTGTCTTTCCTTATGCAGTACCTGTATGCCTCTGAGAGACGATGCTCCCATATAAAGGAAAACTCCATATAACACAGGCATCGGAATATGCTGAGGACAAAAACAGAAAATAATTCAAAAGGATGAAAATCACCGTTTCTTTATTGCAAGCATTTAGCATTGTGTTGAACAAAGATGGCGGACCTTCAGTACGGAGGTCATAAACACTGAGCTGCCCATGAGGACGAAGATCATGAGGCCGGTGAAGCGCTGCTCTCTGATGCCCAAGAACTTGGGCTGTTCTCCAGGAGCGGAGCATTCAGACTCCAGCTTCAGACTGTTGACATGGCTGATCGACAGCACAGTGGCAGCCACAAACCACGGCAGACCCATCACAGAGCAAACGCCCAACATCACACCCACCACAAACAGATCCAGATGATAACCACAGCCTTTCTGTAGATCACAATCAGAGAACAGTTTATATACACTTGATTTCTCCAGAAATAACATAATCCTTATCGTTCAAAATTTAGATATTAGAATAGAATTTGAATTGTGCTTTACTATACTGTTAGTCCAATTAAAGTAGTACTCTTTTTTTTAGGTCTGAATTTATGACAGTTGATAATACAATTCAAGCTAATTGGCCATTGAGATTTTGTACATTGTCCTGTCTTCTAACATAGGAGTTTTCTGGAAGAAACAATTCAGTCTTACATGGACAAAACAACTGGAACCGTACCTGAATGCTCTTAGAATTGTTTGGCATGATAGTGGAAGTTAGAATAGCTCACCATTTTAAAAAAGTAAACTTGAAAATTTGTCCTGTTGAAATCTGAAAGTGTTCTCTAATTTTGATTAGCTCTTATTTTGAAATATCTCATTTAAGCGTCTTATACTGTTCTTTCAAATATATATAATTCATAAAATTTGCCTTAAAACCTAATAACTTGAAATACGACTAAGCAGCAGTGTTACGTATGTTACTTTTAAAAAGTAATTGGTTACAAATTATTGATTACTACTCGAAAATTGTAATCTGATTACATTACTAATTACTTTATGTAAAAAGTAATCAGATTACTATTTACTTTACTTTAAAGTTACTTTTAAAACATATGAAATATACCTATAAAATATACGAAATAAACTGCTGCTCTTTGGGTAATTTAATATTCACTGAAATACATTACAAGTTGGCTGTTCATTGTGGAGTTTGCATGTTCTCCCTGCGTTTGCGTGGGTTTCCTTAGGGTGCTCCGGTTTCCCCCACAGTCCAAAGACATGCGGTACAGGTGAATTGGGTAGGCTAAATTGTCCGTAGTGTATGAGTGTGTATTGATGTTCCCCAGTGATTGCTACATGAGATTCATTCATTCATTTTCTTTTCGGCTCAGTCCCTTTATTAATCCATGGTCGCCTAAGCGGGATGAACTTAAAATTCTCTCATCATTCACTTGTTCCAAACCTGTTTGTCTTTTTTTTTAACACAAAAGAAGCACATGAAGAAAACTGGATACCTGAAACCACTGACATCTACAGTATGAAGTAGCACCGCAGTGTTTGGGTGTTCTGTGTTTGTCTGAGGTAATTAGTCAACCGAAGAGCGTTTATTCCTTACAAAGTATGAAGCTGATCGTCAGTTCTTGTCACGTGGCACACGGTTTTCAACTGGTGCACCTGGGAAATGAGCGCACAATACGTTCCATATGCGTGCGCAAAAGATGTGATATGTGAACGGCCCTGAAAGCAGCTACGCTTCTCTTTACATTCAGAAGATACCTACACTCACGATCCTGCACAAAAATTTGATTAAGGCATGTTTGGGCTGATTTGGGCCGCTGTGTTTTTGGGCACCGGTGTCCTCCCTGGTGACGAGTAGTGTCTTCGAAGGTTTTGTTTTCTGTACAAATGCTTGAACAAGTTGCTGGTCGAGTTAAAAGCAGTCGAAAGTTCTTTAGAGACTTGAAATGGACTGTATTTCACAACAATATTTTATTGTTTTTACGCTTAATAAAACCAAAGTAATGTCAGTATTTCCACTTGAAGAAGCAGCCGCTCTTGACAGCAGCCATTTCAGCTCGAGTTCTCCAGCAATTTAAAAGCGCATGCTTATTAAATGACGTTGCAGCAGAAAATGTGATTTAAAAGAAGTATTCTTTCTTCTAAATATTATATTTGTAACGCAAGTTGTGCAATTACATTGACTTTAGTAACTGTAATCAAATACACAAATGTAAAATGTTATTCAATACATTACTGTGTTCCTTAAAAATGTAATTAGATTACAGTAGTATATTACTATGGAACACCCAACTTTGCTAAGCAGTGACATAAAAAATTAGGAAATTGTTGTCATTCCGACATCCACAACCAAAAACATACCGTAACATTAAGTCTACAAGAATATCTGATAATCAAAAGAAGATTCTTATTAAAACCTTCAGCTTGTGTTCCTTCCTGTTAATAATAACGGCAGTAATCTGTTGGTCCATGAAGATGAGGATAGTACACAGCAGGGCTGGGATGCAGGTCACAATTACAGTCCACCACGGGTTTGGTCCCAGTGGACTGATAATCCAGCCACGGTCATCTCTGGTTGGCTGTGAGAGGTCAAATAAATATGTTGAATACATATTGATGGGAAAATTGATGAATAATTAAAATAGTAAAACTTCTTCTAACCACTCACTTTGAACACATTAGGAACCTGTAGTTTGGGTGAAGGAACCCCCAGACCATAGTCGATCAGAACCATGGTCATGATGGTGATGAAAACAGCAAAATCACTGATAATCTGCCTCACCTGTTGCAAAATAACACAGAGAACAACATTACAGATTATATAGATTTCTGGGGGAATTTTTACAGCACTAAAGAGTGTCATATTAATAATATTATTATTAATAATAATAATTATTATTATATTAATATTAATAAAAAAAAAAGAAATTTATTCATACAGAAAACAGTTATTTCAAACTGTAATAGCAGTTCAAAAATTTACAGTATTTTTTACAGTATTTTTGATCAAAATATACTCATACTATTATTATATTATATTATCATTCAGTCATTCATTTTCTTTTTGGCTTAGTCCCTTTATAAATCCGGGGTTGCCACTGCGGAATGAACCGCTAACTTATCCAGCACGTTTTTACGCGGCGGATACCCTTCCAGCAGCAACCCATCACTGGGAAACATCCCCACACACTTATACACTATGGACTATTAAGCTTACCCAATTCACCTGAACGCAGAAAGAACATGCAAACTACACACAGAGATGCCAACTGACCCAGCTGAGGCTCGAACCCGTGACCTTCTTGCTGTGAGGCGACAGCACTAACTACTGCGCCACTGCATTGCCCCTGAATTTTATAATATTATATTATATTATATTATATTACATTATATTATATATATATATATATATATATATATATATATATATTATTACTGGGGGTTTATTCCGCTGTGGAGACCCCAAATTAATAAAGAGACTAAGCCGAAAAAGAAACTTATTTTTAGACAATACATTTTTGTTTTCTTATAGACAAATAAAAACATTATATAATTATAAAATGTGCAAGTATTGCATTATATTATTAAAGATAAATATTGTTAATAAATTATATCGATTTTTTTACTATGTAATTAAATGCTGTTTTTATTAATACATAAAACATATTTTTTGAATTCATATACACAATTATAAATAAAAAAACATTAAATAAATATGCAAGCATTATATTATATTGTTAAAGATGAATATGCATTTTCATCATAAATAGAAATAGAATAAAATACAATAAAATACATATTTTAATTACAATACACAAAACACCAAAAAATAAAAAATAAATTAAAAGAGACAGTTCTTACCTTGGTGGGAAAGTAGCGGCTGGTTTTGAACTCCTTGAGGAAAGAAGACATGGCCACTGTGGAGAAGAAGAGAACGACAGACCAGAAGAGGACGTCAGGGATGTAAGGACCGTGATGACCACACGCACTGCCCACAAATTCACCCCTGTTCTCCACACAGCCCTGAAAAAACCAACAGACACAATGATCAGAAGAGAAAAACACAAGAGGATAAAATCTCGTACAATCATCGGTGGACAATTCACTTCTTCATTCCTGCATTTAAAAAAAAATGTAAATCTGCAAATAAATGACTCATACAACTTTAGTCAGTAACAGTTTATTTTGATGGTCCACTTGAGTAATAGTAGCAGGGCCGGAGTGGGACACCTTTTCAGCTCTGGAGTTTCAATCCTCAAACCGGCCCACCTCAGTTCACGACTGACTATATTAAAATAAGTAAATAAATAAATATTTCCAAATCAATTTCTAATGACACTATCACGTCTTTTTCTTTTTTTTTTTTTTTTTTTGAGAAAACAGCTGCTTTAGAACTTCAAATGTTCAACAACCCTAACAGTATTATATGTCTTATCAATAAAAATGAAAACACTAAATTGCGAGGATCGAACCCGGGTCCGCGGCATTTTAACATAACCTGCTAACCGCTCGACCACAACAACTGTTTTAAAATAATGAATAAAAAGGCTGTGGTCAAGTAAATAAATAAATTTAAAAAGTGTGACTGCTGAGAGCAACAGGTTCTGGAGCTAGGGACACCGGCCCTCGCGGACAAAAAACGGACCGGCCCACCGGGAATTCTCCTGGTCCTCCTGATTAGCCAATCCGGGCCTGAATAGTAGACTGTCTCCTTAATATATGTTGATAATGCTCCTTAAACAGACATTTAATTGACTATACAAAACTTTCCAAGCACATGTCAACTTACACTCACCCTAACCTCAACCCTTACCCTAACCCCAACCTAACAGTCTACTTATAATCTAATGAGAATTAGTTGGCATGTAGATGCAATGTAACTTAATTCAATAAACGGACCATAAAAAATAAAGTGTGACCTTTTAGTCAACAAAGTCTCTTCTTGTAGATTAATGATTTGTTACACATTTGGGACATCACAAGGATGTGTTTGTATATGTGTGTGTGGTACTGGTGTGAGAATTGTCCACAGACATATTGCAATACCAGTAATTTTTATGATTAGTGGATAAGAACAGAATATACAGACTATAAAGTATATGGGAACTAAAAGTCTCTATTAAACAAAAAAACAGTGTGTGTGTTTGAGTTTGTAGTTGCGTGCATTTGCAAAAGCTTTAGAATTAAGCACGGGACATGATCTGAGGTGAAAGAGCTGAGGATTTGCTTTTATACAAATCTGAGTCACTGAAAAGAATTAACCCATATATGAGGGCCAGACATGAGTGGCAGATGCCTGTTGAAATGTTTTTAGTGAACTGTGCTAAAAATAACTAATATGGGGTTTAGTTGTTGTAACACAGACAACTTAAACCGTTTCTACACATGCTAGCGTAACAAAACTGACAGTATTTGCTATATCAAAACAATACAGAAACTGAATTGAACTATCGAACACTAAACCATGGCAAAAGTACAGTTCTGGGGTGCTTTTCCCAAAACCATTGTTAACCAACTAAGGTTGCAAGTTCCGTCGTTCCAAACATAGTTTGTTGATTTGCCGTTTCCCAAATGCATCGCTCCAATGAACATTTGCCAACTGCGTCGCAAACTTGAGCACTTGCAACTACAGCTCTGGAGCTGGCACAGTAGTTGGAAAGTTCCCAGCTGTGTTCTATTCCCACTTTTCCACCCTATGCCCTATTCATTTAGAACATTTTAACATTCAAAGTTGGAATGATTAAAAATAAAAAAAAAGCATTAAGGTTATCTCTCTTAGGTGTAATTTGCTTTCAAACTATTTTTAAAGATCAGTTTTAGCGATCTTCATGTTTATAATTGTGTTCTCTTTGCAGTGCACTTTGAAAACATTGATGTCATTTTGAACACAGCCTCATGGCGAGAGCTATAGGTGACCTATTATTTAAAAGCGAAACTTATGTTACGTCTCCAAAGCTTGTGAAAACCAAAAACCAGCATATGTTAATGCTTTTAATTTATAGTAGGTTATTTAAGCATATGTACTGTAAATGATATGGACCTGCTGATTAGAGCTTTCTGCAGTGGTTTACAAGTGTCAAATTGTAAAAAACTTAAAAAAAAAAAAAATTCTACTTAATGATAATAATATTAATTATTATTATTATTATTATTATCATCATCATCATCATCATCATCATCAATATTATGATTTTTGTATAGTATATAATATTTTATACAAAAATATAGATTTTTGTATGGAATAGTATGATTTTTTTCTAATTAACAATAAATATTACATTTCATTTCATAATAAATAGCCTAATTTTTTATTTATTTATATGATTTATATATGATATTAGAATACGTCTAAGCTTTTGTAAGTGACATGTTTTAAAATAGAATACGTAATGTTCTCAATCCGCTTGTTAAGTGTGACGTCACGCGAAGCGGCTTCCGGGTACAAGCGCTCTATTCAACTGTATGGGGAGGCTCATGAAATGGTAATAATAAACGTTTACAAAGCGATTTAATACTTTCGAAAATCACAATCGCAATATATATGTCTATGCCTAATATCCAATGGCCAGAAAGTGATCCATTTCTTTATAAATTGTAAAAGTTTTTATATTTCTGCAGCAAGCCCAGAGATTGTTGTGTACACTATGATTTTATATAAAATTAACTTTAATGTGTGATAGGAATAAAACGTGATCATAAACGAATGATTTCTCAACTCAAATGAGTGTCGGCTTGGACCCGGAAACAGTATTACATACGTCACCACTTAACAAGCGGATAATATTAGTAAAGCAAACATAGGTCCTATATGTGCCATTTACATAGATTTCAATTGATATGGAAAGCGAGTGCATGTTTTAACCAAATCTAATATTGGATTTTATATTAAATGCGTGTGCGGGTAAAACAACATAATCTGCACAAAGAAATTATGGGTTTTTCTCTAAAGAAGTAGTTACTCCACCCAGTTTAAAGCATCATTATGAACATTTTACGTTATAACTAACGTGGTTCAAGCGATGGATTTGTGACAGAGAAACTACGGGTTTTGTTTTTTTTCCCCAAATTAAGCATTATACTATAATAATCAGCCGTGAGTTATGTCGTTGCTTGGGAAACGCACCCCTGGCTGAAGTAAATTTTTCAACTTAGTTATTAGTGTTGACTTAATCTATTAAAAATGTCAAAGTTTAGACAGTTCTGTAATGCTCTGCTGACAAGCAGAAGACACTAAATGTTTTAAATTCCAGTTGTGCAGATAGGAATCTTTGTAATTGTGCATATTTGGTATCATTACAACTATAAGTTTTTTTTTCTGATGGCTGAATCTGACATTGCCAATACTATCCTGACATGTATTATACAGTAGTTTAATCTTTTTTTTTTATCCATCATTGTTTTGTTTAAAGGTTAGTTAATCAAAAACTGAAAATTGTTCCATTATTTGCTCATCCTCAAAGTGCCCTGGGCATGTTACTAAGTATACAAAGTATATTACTTTCAGTCTGAGTTACTTAAATAATTATCTTTTGCTTTTCAATTTATTGGATTGTTGAAGAAAAACTTGTACCCTTATAAAGCACATCAATTCATAAAGATTATTAAAGTTCGTCGAGACAAACTTTAGGCTGGCTTGAGAAAGTCTGTTGGAAATAGTTTGTTTAATTTAAACAGTTTTAAAAAGTTTGAAACGAAGATAGATAGATAGATAGATAGATAGATAGATAGATAGATAGATAGATAGATAGATAGATAGATAGATAGATAGATAGATAGATAGATAGATAGATAGATAGATAGATAGATAGATAGATAGATAAAAACAGTTTATAGATAGATAGATAGATAGATAGATAGATAGATAGATAGATAGATAGATAGATAGATAGATAGATAAAAACAGTTTATAGATAGATAGATAGATAGATAGATCGATCGATAGATAGATAGATAGATCGATCGATCGATCGATCGATCGATCGATAGATAGATAGATAGATAGATAAAAACAGTTTATAGATAGATAGATAGATAGATAGATAGATAGATAGATAGATAGATAGATAGATAAAAACAGTTTATAGATAGATAGATAGATAGATAGATAGATAGATAGATAGATAGATAGATAGATAGATAGATAGATAGATAGATAGATAGATAGATAAAAACAGTTTATAGATAGATAGATAGATAGATAGATAGATAGATAGATAGATAGATAGATAGATAGATAGATAGATAGATAGATAGATAGATAGATAGATAGATAGATAGATAGATAGATAGATAAAAACAGTTTATAGATAGATAGATAGATAGATAGATAGATAGATAGATAGATAGATAGATAGATAGATAGATAGATAGATAGATAGATAGATAGATAGATAGATAGATAGATAGAAAGATAGACAGATAGATAGATAGATAAAAGCAGTTTGAAAAAGGATAGATAGATAGATAGTTTTGAGGTCACAAAGTTAGATCTATTGTTAAGTCAATGACAGTCTTTTGCAATAAAAGTCTATGGGACAGTTGTTGCTAGGGTGCAGTATCTGGTAGTTAGGGTGTGGCTAGAAAGTTAAAAGCTCATCAGTGATTGGCAGTTTGGTAGTCTGAGTTAAATGAGCTCAGCCATTAGTCTGTATGACAGTCTGATGCAGAGTTATGAGCTCACAAATTTTGATCCCATGTTAAGTCAATGAGAGTCCTTTGAATGGAAGTCTATGGGACAGTTTCTAGGGTCCAAAAGTGGTTGCTAGGGCGTGGCCAGAAAGTTAAAACCTCATCAGTTATTGGCAGTTAGGTAGTCTGAGTTAAATGAGCCCAGTTAGAAGTCTGTGTGACAGTCTGACGCAGAGTTATAAGGTCACAAAGTTTGGTCCAATGTTAAGTCTATGGGATTTTTCCGACGGTCCCGGGACGTTTTTCGGAAAATCGAAAGTCGGATCAGTCGGAAAAGATATGGCATACCGAGTCAGAATAGTTTGGAGGTCTGGTGTGAGTTTGGGGGTCATAGCTCGAAAGCTCTAGGAGGAGATAGATTTTGAATTTTAGTCTCAGAAGAAGAAGAATAATATATAAAAAAAATAATAAGTTTAAATAGGATTTCAGTAGTCTGGCTTGTTTCTCAAGCCAGCCTAATAAAAAAGTGCCTAGCAGTGCTCAGGGGTGGGAATAAAGGTCTTTTGTCATGAATCAATACATTTTGGGAGAAAAAAATATCCTTATTTGAACACTTTATATACATTTTTGCATCTTCAGCAAGAAACCGTGCCAATGTCGTCGTCTTCTTCCATAGAGGCACATTTTCCGTGCATTCGAACTGTTGAAATGAATGTGAAAGTGCAGTGAAGAGTGATAACTAAATGCCAGGCATGAAAATAAAAACATCTCTGCTTGACCTACAGTATAATCAAAATCCTCCAAACGTTTTTTTTATACAGTATATTTATTTATTAATTTTTAGAACTTTTTATTTTGGACTTTTCCACTTCAAATTTGTGACCCTATGCTCTATGTCATCCCCTTAAAAGGCCTCACAATCCTGTCCAGCTGGTGGTGCTAAATGCCATAAAAATGCACCTCTAATAAAGAAGAAGAAGAAGACAACAACAGTCTCAATCCTTTACTTTGTTTTTCACCCATGGAGGCACGTGAAGCACTTTTTATAATGGATGATTGTCCTTTACTGGACTTGTTTGAATGACTAAAAAAACATATACATGTTACCTGTTGCCTTTGTAAAAAAAGAATTTTATTTATTATTAGCTAATTTTCATTTTAAAGTGAACTAACCCTTTAAAATGCCTTTGATCTTCATACAATGCATTACTTGCTTTTTAAGCATTGTGAATTACAACTAATCACGCGCTTGTCTCTTATTAATGCAATGGCCAATCAGAGGTGTGCAGATACTGCTGAATGCAATAATACTGTAGGCCTTCCTTGTAATGAGTTTCTAATTTATACAATGCCATCATCTATAAACCTTATAACTTCATAAAAGTATGCATCTGTTGTGTAGATAGATGTATGCCATCTCTGAGCAGTGTTATCTAGTTTGCTGATTACTGAAATAACAGGATACATTTAAAGTATTTAACAGAACACAACAAACACAAACACATTGGCTTTTTAAAGGGTCATGACACCCCCCACTTTCGGTTCAAGTCTACCTCAGAATTTTTACAAAAGATGCATCATAATGGGAGCGGAGCTCCGCAAGCAAAGGGCAGGAATGGGCAGGAATGCAGCGTCAGTGCAGCAGGTCTCTTGACCTGTCTATTTTAACCATTAAACCTGTTGGTAATCTAGAGCAGTGTTTCTCAACTGGTGGGTCGCGACCCGCGGAGTGTGTGGTCAAAAAAACAACAAAAGTTGAATTTTTTACTTATTTTGCTTATACCGGACTTTTATTTTCAAATTTGTGCGCGAAAACCCTACCGTTTGTACGACCCCGAATATGTAAAGTATTGATTTACATATATTGACGAAAAAAAATACCTAAAGCCTCGTGTCATATGTAGTGAGGTACTCTCATAAGAGAGAAACCTTCTAAATTAAAATGACATTTAGAAACCAGACATGTTTTATTAACAGTTCAGTTTAGTTCATAGTAACTGAACTTTTACTTACCCTAACCACTGTTTACAATATTTGTTGTTTTTATTTTATAATATTTCTATAATTTGATCTATTTTTTTAAATGACAGCAATAAAATATTGTTGATTTGTAAGTCTCTATGAATGTCTTATAATTTATCTGTCACTACTTGTGTATGTTAACAAATAAATACAAATTAATTATAACTCCTAAAGTTGTATTATAGTTTCTAAAAATTTGGGTCGCGGCTTGATGACCATGTAAAAAGAGAACCCCTGATCTAGAGGATTAAGGCAAACAGCAGCATGGCGATGTGTCTAAATGTGAACGAACTCCTGATAAAAGACAAGGTCCGCCGTTCACCAATCCTCATACTGCTCCCCAGACAAAAATGCTTGATGGACACTTACAGCTTTGCTGTATCGGCCCTGACAGGATCGGGGGGAAAAACATGCAACGAACCCTGTGGATCATGGAAACAAACACATACGAGCCTTCATGAACAGCTAAATACTGTGTGCCGTGGGTCCGTGTCTCACAGCTTGGCACTTGCAGGTCTGCCTCGCGTTTGGAAAGCACGTGCTCTCATGAATAATTAAGAAACCGGCTCTTCTCATAGGATAAGAAAACTCCGCTATGAATAATAATGAGAAACAGACGTGTCATCTTTGCACTTGCAGTTCTGCGCTCAGTTGCCGATTTTAATCTCGCCCCAAGAATCATTTTAAACCCGTTAGCTGAAATTAGCTGACTAAAGCTCAAAATATTCCACAATTAAAGCTAACAGGTCCTAACATTCTCTTAACTGATGCTCAACACACACAAATCTGTTAAAATCTCAAAAAAGTTCTCGAGTGTTTCGTGAACCTTTAAAGGAAAACAAATTAGAAGGTCATAACATCTTAAAATGTTTAAACCTTTTTTTTTATTTTAAAATGCACAACATTTGGAAAAAAAATGTAATGGCAAACAAGCATTCAGTTCGCTAAAATTCCATTAAAACGAAGCTATCCATGATGCGCTCAAGTAGTGATGGAAACATTGCACAGTATTTTTATGTTGAAAGCACAATGAACTTCACAAAGTCAGGTAGATTTTTGTAAGCTGGGTTTTTGTAAAAAAAAAAAAACAACAACAACAAAAACTAAAAAAAACACAATAGATGCAGTCTGCAAAGATATGGAATTTGATCAAATGAATACAAATAAATAATAAAAAAATTAAAGATATAGATGGCAGATTGCACACTTTTTTAAAAGAAACAGCACAAATTGCAGCAAAGCAATCACACCAGTTAGTTACAGTTTCAGTTAAGCCAAGCGTGTTTACACGATCCAGAAAGTTCTGAATGCACCAATAGCCACATTTACCTTGACATCTAGGCCTAACCAGTCGATCTCAGATGCAGTGATGTTTTTTTCCTCCCAGTACTTCAGTGTGGCATTACTGGGTTCTTTAGGAATTGTGCATACACACCTGCAAGACACACAAAAACACATGACAAAATTTTACAATGAGAAATTTGTCAACATGTGACATTAAAAATTAATGATGCATGTATGTGTGTGTAAACTTTATTGTGCCTACAATGGGGCAATTTGTTCTCCAGCATAATAAATTTACACAATTCACAACATTCACATAAGACAGACACAACTTCAATAGCACTAAAAAGAGCAACTACCTCTTCCCATTCAAATGCAGCAAATCAATACCACGAGAAACGACTAAAAATGTAAATAACGAGATCCTGACAGAAGAGTTTCAAATGAATCAAAAGGAGATTGAGATATGCCAGATATAGTTTGATGTGCTTTCCATAACACCTGGATTTTGTACAAATCAATTAACCCAGGCAATTTCAACCCCAAGCCTTTTCTGCAGATGTTTAAAACTGTGGGCCCCGTTTTCACTAGTATGTTTTCGTTTTAAAAACAGTGTTTTAGAATGAAAACGATCCACGTCCACACTAGCGTTTCTGAACAACTCTCCATCTACACCAAACAACTAAAAACGCACATCACGTGACCACACACACACTCTGGCATGCACTGCAGCATATCTACTCAGACGAGAGCTGCGCTCGTTGGACTGTTCATCAAGGATCTACCGCTGGATCTAATCTCACTATATTTATTAAACAAGATATTTAATTCATCTGGTTTCTATCTAACGGCATATTTCCAGACTTTAGTCTTTTGAATCTATTACTTGCTCTCAAGTAACATGTTTTGGCTGAGCGCAAATATAAGTTAATAATTAATGGAACCACGTACATTTTGTATATTGACTGATTGCTTGCCTTTATTTCCCATAATGTATAAACTTATTGTATGTTATACTTCTTTAATGGCCATTATTGATTATTAAAACTGATATTCAGCAATAGAGAGGGTATGTTTCGTATTTTCAATAAAAATGAAAGGAGGCAGTGATGTTATAGTCTCTGTTTTGCTATAAATATGCATACAGTGAAAATGGAGCTCAAATATGCAGCACGACGCCTCAACATTTCTGCTGTCTGTTAAGTTGTTAATGACAAAATGAAAATAGCAGTTCCTCATATCATGCTTTAATTTTATTGTTAAGAAAGTGAAACAATGTACGTATCCAGGATGATGTGAGTAAGGTTATAAAGTACACTGTTCCCTTTGAAGATTTAATGACATGTCCTCGGGAGTCTGTTTTACATATCAAACTTGCGAAGTCTGAACTTCAAGGAGAGGATGCAGGACTGAACTGTGTGTAAGCTACTGAATATTCGCCCCAATCAGAGAGGTGAATGTCGGCAGTACCGCCTCCGTTTTCAGATGTCTCCATTTTCCCCCATCCACATTGAGACGGAGCAGCAGTGTTTTAGAATGAAAACGGCCTCTTCAGCATTTCCAAAGTGCTCCGTTTTCCACATTCGAAAACTCCAGCGTAGTGTGGACGGATGGCGTAACCGAAGCAAAACTTATGCATTTTAAAATGAAAACACATTAGTGTAAACAGGGCCATAGTGTCAAGATCACCATCAATCTAGTCCTGGTAAATCACTGGTGAACTACATATGCCACCTTAATGAATTACAAATCCCATCGTGCAGTTTCATACACACCATTCGGCGATCACCACTATGACACACATGCAGCTGAAGCTTGCTGATCATTTGGACTATTTAAACACCACACACCAGTTCTTTGCTGTGTCTTTGTTTGTTGTAGTAAGTATTTCTAGTCCTTTGTTTTGCTTGCCATGGTTTTGACCTAAGCATTGTCTTTTTGTTGTGTGCTTTTTCAATTTAATTCAATTCATCTTTTTTTCTATAGTCCTTTTACAATGAAGATTGTGTCAAAACAGCTTTACATAGACGTTCTAGTAAATTGCAATTTAAACTGTGTCAGTCCAGTTTTCAAAATTACAGTTTAGTTTAGTTTAGTTCAGTGTGGTTTAATTTTCACTGCTGAAAGTCTAAACACAGAGCAAATCAATCCATGTGCAGCTCCACAAGACCCAAACCAAGTGGGCAAGTTGCGACAGTGATGAGGAATATACTTTACAAATTGACGATGCTTTTTTGACAACTGTACTGCCCTTATGCCTGTTTAATGATTTGGACGACTTGTATGTTCCTGTTTTGCTCCTGTGCTGAACAATGCCTGCCTGTACGACTAAGTGGTACGATACAGTTCGCTTTTTGGTATCTTTTGACAGTGGAAATGGCCACAAAAGCATATTGAACTGCACTGTACCATACCGCTCAGTGGAAACGGCCATTATTAAACTGCACTTGAATCCTTACTTTTGTTGTCCTAGACTTGGTCCTGCACATGACACTTATACAATTCATTATTTTATGTTATCTTAAAAGTGGCAAATCAGCAAAAAGGTTCAAACTGACTTCACATAAGCCTTATATACACTCACTGGCCACTTTATTAGGTACACCTTACTAGTGCTGGGTTGGACCCCCTATTGCCTTCAGAACTGTCTTAATCTTTCATGACCTAGATTCAACAAGGTACTGGAAATATTCCTCTGAGATTTTGGCACAAATTGACATGATAGCCTCACGCAGTTGCTGAAGATTTGTCAGCTGCACATCCATGATGTGAATCTCCCATTCCACCACATCAAATACCAAAGGTGCTCTATTGGATTGAGATCTGGTGACTGCAGAAGCCATCTGAGCACAGTGAACTCATTGTCGTGTTCAAGAAACCAGTCTGAGGTGATTCGCAGTTTATGACATGGTGCATTATCCTGCTGGATGTAGTGTTTGTGTGTGTGTTTACTTACGAGTATTGAGTGAGTTTGTTGAGGTCGTTGTGCATGTTGAAAGGGTACGTCTCTCCCAGATGGATGAGTTTCTCCAGAGCCTCGTAGATGAAGATGATGCAGATGAGAGAAGCGAAGGCCTCCTCTGTAAAGCGCGTGATGTAACACACGAGTGAACTGGCATCTGTGGCCACCAGCAGAAGACAGAAAAAGGCCGTCCACAGGCCGATGCACACGCGTAAGGAGAGGTAGGACAGACCATACTCTCTTAGGAGAAACACACAAATAAAATAAATTCCACTGTCACCTACAGTTAAATGAGTCTTAGAACTAAGACATTTTGGGGATTGAAGGAAAACAATACTTAAGGTACAGACTAAATTTAATATTTCAGCTATTAAAAAATGTACATATAAATAAAATTGTGTGTGTGTATAAATAAATAAATATATTTTATTTATTTATACACACTAACCCTATATATACATATATATATATATATATATATATATATATATATATATATATATATATATATATATATATATATATACAGTGCTTAGTATAAATGAGTACACCCCTCAAAGATCTATTTTTTTTTTATATTTTCTAAAGGATGCTTTACAATAATATATTTGTGCATGTACTGTACATTAGCCCTAAATCTTAAAAAAAAAAAAAAGAAAATCGGTAACTATCACGGTTATGTGTGCGCTCTTTTTGTGGTTGTCTTTTTTGTGGTCACGTGTTTCATTGCTCAACACCGATCAGGTGTTCTGATCAGTCACTTCAGCTGTGGTTAATTTCAACACCTATATCTTAGCGGCAATTCTTTACTTTGTTCTCAGTTCTCAAATTGACTTATTTTGGCTCAAGTCCAGCTCGTTGTTTAGGTCGTTTGTTATCCTGTTTGGAGTGCTTGCACTGTTTGATTTATGACTTTTGGTTATGATAAATACACTTGCAGCTGGATTCATCTTTGTTTGTTTTTATGTACTTTTAGCAAGACAGTCACAGGCCAAATATTTTTACACCAATATTTATAGGTTGGGGGAAAATATTAAATAAAATTTCAATAAACAGTAAAAATCAAAAGACAAAAAAATATCAAATTTAGTAGAATTAGAAGTTTTTTAGAGTAGAAGTTTTTATTTTTATTTATTTTTTTGTCAATAACGCATTTGATTTTAAATGTTTTTTCTCTCTATTACTAAAGGTGATCTGTGACCACACCCTTATGTTAATAAATATAATTGTTATATAACTGTATGTATCATAAAACTGTTTTGTTTAAATCCACCAAAAAATGTTAAGTTAATTCACTGAGCTAAAAATATTCATTTTCAAAAGGGGGTGTACTCATTTATGCTGAGCACTGTGTGAATATATATATATATATATATATATATATATATATATATATATATATATATATATATATATATTACACTTATGTACTTACTATAACAAAAAAACTCAAATATTTTAGTTTGTTTTCTACTGGAAAACTTTTTGGAGTTTTATTATTATTTTCAGCACTAAAATTGGGTTTCATTTACAACGTTACTAAAATGTATGCAATAAAAACTCAAATGCGAACAAAACAAATACAAAACAAAAGAAAAGAAAAATACTAAACAAAATACTTAAAGAAAATGCTTAAGAAAACACTTTAAAAATACTAAAGAAAATACTTAAAATAAATCTTATTTAACCAGAAGCCAGCAGCAAATTGTTGAGTGTGTGTAGGGTCCATGTGTATGTGGGTCTATGCGTGAAACCTGAAAAAAGTCTTGTCACCTATCCAAGTTTTAGGAACATCAATTAATAACCTGACTTCTAGTTGGTCATGTGAGAAGTGACTTATTTGAAAGGCAAAGGCCTCAAGATTACGCTTCTTTTACCAAAATAAAATAATGATCATGCCTTGATTTTTAATTATTAAATTAAGATAGTACGGTTTGGCTTAGACAAAAGTCTGGTCACTTAACACAAATAATGTACAGTAAAGAATATAAAGTCATGGTGTAGTAAAAAAAAAAAAAATTATATTGTGTATGACTCCTATGAGCTTGGACGACTGCATCCATACATCTCTGCAATGACTCATATAACTTATTAATAAAGTCATCTGGAATGGCAAAGAAAGTGTTCTTGCAGGACTTCCAGAGTTCATCAAGATTCTTTGGATTCATCTTCAATGCCTCCTCCTATATCTTACCCCATTCATGCTCAAACGAAGGAGCGCTATCCTGCTGAAGAATTTGCCCTCTCCTGTGGTTTGTAATGTAATGGGCAGCACAAATGCCTTGATACCTCAGGCTGTTGATGTTGCCATCCGCTCTGCAGATCTCTCGCACACCCCCATACTGAATGTAACGCCAAGCCATGATTTTTCCTTCACCAAACTTGACTGATTTATGTGAGAATCTTGGGTCCATGCAGGTTCCAGTAGGTCTTCTGCAGTATTTGTAATGATTGGGATGCAGCTCACCGGATGATTCATCTGAAAAATCTACCTTCTGCCACTTTTCCAAATGATCAACTAGATCAAGCGGCTCTTACAACTGGGATCAACGACAAGACTTTTGTCAAGTAGTGTATTCTGCATTTTCTCTTTTAATTATATATCATACTACAACAATGCAGACCACTGTACATGCATTCTTATAATCAAGCAGACTACTGTGAAAGTGCATTTCCTTATTCTTCCACTATAAACCTAATGAAACATTACAAAATAAAAGAACAGAACTATTTGAAACCAAAGGAGCCTTACTTGCAGAATTTGAAGAGGATTTTCTCAAAGACCAATACAGGCCCTGTACTGCCCAGAATAGTGAGGGGCTGCCCGGCAAACAATGAGTATGCAATACCCGTCATAGAGGCTCCAAAAAGAGACTCTATTGCACTCTAAAAGACAAATGAAAAGATATCACAATGGCAGCATAATCAACCCAGGTCTCTTGAAATACAGTTTTGCGTCTATAAACTTGCTAAATAAATTGCCTATATGCATTCTTACTATGCGTCCTTCAGTAGCTTCTCCCAGCAGACCTCCGAAGGTGATGACCGGAGACATGCAGGCGCAGTAGAGGAAGAGGAAGGAGGCCAGACACTGCAGGCTGAGGGCGTCTGTGTAGTCTGACAGATAGTGAGGAGCCTTGCGCTTGATGTCCAGGAAAAGGCCACCAAAAATCCTGTACAATTAACAGAACATCTGAGATCCAGGTCGGTCTCAAATATGGGGATTTATCAAACATAAAATAAACAGTAGATATGGACAGATTTCTGACCTCCCAGTGCGTTGTAGCTCTGGTCCACCATGGCCTCCATGTTCCTCTTCCTCCCCAAGATCTGCACCACCATTAGCCAGAGGAGGAACTTTACGCTTCTCCTATCAGATTGAGACACAAAACAACATTAGAAACAATGCTGTTCTCGCAGAGTAAAGCTGCAACCACCTAGATCACAGGTGTCAAACCACAGCGCTGCACAGTTTAGTTCCAACTCTAATTAACCACACCTGATCAAAATATAATTGAGTCCTTTAGGTTTGCTTGAAACCTACAGGTAAAGCTGCGGTCACATTAGAATTTGAGCATGCGATATTCTGTTCTGCGGCGCTGTGAAAAGGACCGGGATTAAACAAGCTTCATTCATTCATTTTCTTGTCGACTTAGTCCTTTTATTAATCTGGAGTCGCCACAGCGGAATGAACCACCAACTTATCCAGCACGTTCTTACACAGCGGATGCCCTTCCAGCCGCAACCCATCTCTGGGAAACATCTACACACAAACATCCACACACACACTCATACACTATGGACAATTTAGCCTACACAATTCACTTGTACCGCATGTCTTTGGACTGTGGGGGAAACAGGAGCACCCGGAGGAAACCCACGCGAAGGCAAGGAGAACATGCAAACTCCACATAGAAACGCCAACTGAGCCGAGGTTCCAACCAGCGACCTTCTTGCTGTGAGGCGACAGCACTAGCCACTGCGCCACTGCTTTGCCCATTAAACAAGCTTATTAGACATTTAAAAAAGAGAGCGATTGCTCCATGTTTTAAATTTCTGTCAAGAGATGTCATGTTTTGATCCTCGATTGGTCTCACGCAATCAAGTGATGCGATTTCGCAGGTCAGAGTTCACCAAGCTTGAACTTTGCACTGCAGCAACCTGCAAAACTTGACGCATGACCTTGTGCTTCCGGTCTGACGCATATGTGTGCGTATGAATGGAAGTATATGGGGAGAAAGGCCCAGTGTGACCGCAGCTTTAGTGTTTAGTAGCAGAGTTGGAATTAAACTCTGAAGGGCTGCGGCCCTACAGGAAGAGTTTGACACCCCTGACCTAGATGTACATTATCTGGCTCATTACACAGCTACTTGCCACAAAAATCCAATCAAATTGACACAAAACATCGATCTTAGCTGTAAAAATTTATTAACTCATTCATTTTAATAGTGTTTTACAGCCACCGATAAACTTCCAGTGAAAGGTTAATGTGACTTTAATTTCATAAGGAGCCTTTTACACCAATGATGCTGTAATGTAATTAAAGTATAATTAGATACTTCATAATTTGTTCATAATCATAAGATGTTGTAATGTAATTAAAGTCAAATCAGATACTTCATAATCATAGACTTAAGCCTTCATTTAGTTGTTCAAGTGTAAAATGAGACAAAAGACAGTTTAAATGCAACGGCCGTCAGGAGTAGCAAGCTAGTGTAGAAACTTCATTAAACATAATGTAGTAAAATCAATTTCCATATTTTAAAGATACGGTGAAGAACAATGGAATTTAAAGCAGTGCTTCTTGTCTGGTCTGATACACACTTTACATCTTAAAACAATGAGGCAGTGAAGAACAGAGCATTTTTTGCATTTTACCTACAGTAGGGGTGTCCAAACTTGGTCCTGGAGGGCCGGTGTCCTGGAAAGTTTAGCTCCAACCCTAATCAAACACACCTGAACCAGCTGATCACGCTCTTACTAGGTATACTAGAAACTTCCTGGCAGGTGTGTTGAAGCAAGTTGGACTTAAACTCAGCAGGACACCGGCCCTCCAGGACCGAGTTTGGACACCCCTGACCTACAGTCTAGTTTTTTTTTTATTATTGCTATAGTTGATTTACGTGGCCGGAGCTACGTACGGACGCGTTTAGTTTTTTTTGACCGAATGCTGCGGGGCGGTGTGGCGCCGATCCGCTTCTCGTCTTCGCGCTCACCGGCCGACGGCTCGCCTCCGAGTGGAGGGCTTTCCCGATGCAACCAGTTTGTCCGCTTAGCTTACAGCGTTGCGTCGGCGGAGCGGAGGCCCCGGAGGAGGAGCCGGCTGCGGGGACGACGACCAGGATCGAGTCTGGGGAACAGCGGTTCCAGAAATCAGGTAAGATGAAAAACAGAATCCGAAAAATAAGGGCGAGAACGCGGCGGGATCCGAAAACGCGGTCGAAAAATTTTTTTGTTTGTTTTTCTGGACGGCTTTTGCAAACCGTCGCTTGGGTTTAGGGAAGGAGGAGGAGGTGGAGGAAGAGGTGGGCGGCCGGGTCAGCCGATCCGGCGGCTTTTTGCGCGAGAACAGCGCGGGTGCGAACGGCGCGCGCTCCCGAGAGTCGCCCGAGACGCGAAAAAGCGCACACAGCGGCCTCTCCCGCTTGTTATCCGCGAAAACAAAAAACGCTCGAATACGTACCTCCCGGGACGTATCTCGCAGTCCGCAGAAACGTCCGCGTGGCTACGTTTCCACAATGAGCCTGGGTTGTATAGTTGTGTGCCTCTACTGCTGTGACTAAATAACTTTTTATTGTGGATCGTACCAACCAGCTCTTGCTGGGTCTGTTCCTCGGACATTTACAATCCTGCCTTTTCTTGCAGTGGTATAAAAATTACATTACAACAGTGCTAACTATTTAATATAGTGGATTTGATGTCACAAGTAAGGTCAGCCACAAAACCAGTGTGCCTTTTGTCAAAATGACTAAAAAGCTGCGGACATTTAATGCTTTTTCTGAGGCGAAGAAGCTGATTTATTCAACCCAGGCTCATTCTGAAAATGTACCGATTTTTGGAGAGCACCAAATATATCCAAGGAGGTACATTTTTTTGCAGTTTTTGTTTTCGCAAATCCACCAGAGGTTGCTGTGTACTCTTTTTGAGATCTCAAATTTTTCTCGCTAGTGCCATTCGCACCGAAGCCGCTGTTGACTGACTGACTGCCTGCCTGACTGACTGACCCACCCTCCTTTTTCCCTAAACCCAACCAATAGTGTTTTCAAAAGCACCAATTGACCCTAGCTGCAGTCCGCAGCTTGATGACATAGTTGACCAGGTACACTACGTAGTTGGCGATCGCCAACAACTCCCCCTACCCTAAACCCAATCGTCACAGTAGCATGGGCATTACTTTATTGAGCAGTAGTTGACGATTGCCAACACCTCCCCCTACCCTAAACCCAACCATCACAGTAGCATGGGCTTTACCTTATTGGGCAGTAGTTGACAATTGCCTACACCTCCCCCTACCCTAAACACAACCATCACAGTAGCATGGGCTTTACCTTATTGGGCAGTAGTTGACAATTGCCTACACCTCCCCCTACCCTAAACACAACCATCACAGTAGCATGGGTGTTACCTTAGTGGACGGTACAAGGTCTGCTAGGTAGTTGACGATCGCCTACCCTAAGCCCAACTGTCACAGTAGCAGGTCCGCTTTTTAGTTGACGATCACCTACGTCATCAAGGCTACAGCGAGGACGTCTTGAAAGAACTGGCAATCTTTAAAAATATATATAGGGCTACGCTTTCAGAATGAGTCTACTGTATGTTGGATTTATTGATGTATTTCTGTGGTTGAGCAATTGCATGAGACATAATTAATTCCAGAAAGTTGTTTTGTTTCTTTCTAATGTGGCCCTCAAAAAAATGTTTCACACAAAAGTGACATTTTTTTATTGGAATTATTTTGGTTTTGATAATTCATCACTAATGCATCACCAATTGCATCATCGGATCTGCTATGGATCAGTGCATGTACAGTAAAGTTTGATCACTGATTACCTGTGAGGGCACGTTTTTAGGTGGCTCTATTCTGATGGTGGGATCCCATTCGCCAGGAGGCAGCACAGTCACCTGGTCCAAAAATTCATCAATTCCAGCCACAAGATCAGAACGCTCCTTTGCTTTATACGCCACATCATGAAACACCTAGAAAAGACACACTGATGTGAATTTAGCATATATACAGTAACAGCCAGTTAGTATAGCATCATGCATAAAAATAAATAGATAATAATGGCAATAATATTGACCTCATCTGTCATGAGTGTGGCAATGGAACGACCAATCTCATGATACTGTGGTCCTTTTCCCATTGGCCCCAGCAGAATGAAGAGAAACCTGCAAAATGACAGCGAACTAAGAAGCGAACCCTTGGGTACACCATTTTGCAAAATGTGCTTGAAAGATTGAGACAGTTATGAGTTTTTTGCGCAGATATATACCGGGTGGTGATCGGGACCTCTGCCAGCCCATTGAGCAGCACAGCAGGAGACAGACGGATGAAGGCCACCACAGGTTTCTCCAGAAACTCCAGCTCACCCACCAAGATGTTAGACGCCTCAGCCCCCGGTGGGATTTTTTTCATGAAGTGGAGGTCTATCTGCAGACAAAAGAAAACTTTTTTTATTTTATTGTTATACATTTTTTCTGGTTTATTTGACAGGGATTATATACCAACAGTCTTTGGACTAATAGTAAAACAGTATAGCTAAAATATAAAGCAATGAATCAATACAAAATAAATACGAATAACTTTAGAAATAAGTTTCAAAATACATGACATTTACAACATTTCAAAAAAATTAACAATCCACCAAGAAATTATATTATACCTATAATTACTGTATACTATAAAACCAACAGTATGACACTTAATTCAAACACACGCCTCCTCAGATACAAATTTATTTAAATCCTTAATACTGACACTATCATCGTATTGCGGGTATCTATTTGTGGTCTTGTCATTTATTATCATTAATACCATGTAGATTCTACTCACCCAAACCTTTAAAAAGTAAGATTTACCAAACAAGAGTCTAAACATGACTCTTACTTTGCTGAAGTCAACAGCACTGTTCTCACGACTGCCTTCACCTCGACCCTCTGTATTGATGGGCTGAGTCTGAGGAGACACCATTTGACCTGGCAGCAGTGTAGCACCCATAAAAACAAAAGAAATAAATAGCAGACCATTAAAAACATATTTGACCATTAAGTTGAAAGCAATGTTAAGGGCATTAAGACCAATGCACACTTACCTCATTAAAAAATAATTTCAAGGAGCATGTTAGTAATGTGAGTTATAAAGTCTTAGCATTGTCTAAATCTAAATCAAATTTACAAACTGAATCTAGAAGGAGGGAAGAAGAAACAGCTTGGATATATATAAAAGTCTAATACAAATATCAGTCTCTAGACTAAGAACTATTTGCGACCCTGGACCATAAAACCATAAGGTTCAGTTTTCTGAAACTGACATTTATATTCATTCCTGAGAGCTGACAAATAAGCTTTGCACTGGTGTATATGCTGTAAGGGTTCTCTAAAAGAGTTTAAAAAAATTAAATACTGCAAAAACACATTTTCAAAATCAGTTATTTACATTAAGTCCATATTGCTGTTTTGATATATTTACAGAAGGAAAATTACAAAATAGCTTATTTTTTTTAGATATTTTACAAAATATCTCTTAATAATACTGTATATATTTACTTAACAATCTAATGATTTTTTGGCATTAAATAAAAATCAATCATTTTGACCCGTTTAATGTATTGTTATCTGTTCCCAAAAATATATCCCTGCTACATATGACACGTTTTATGGTACTGGGTCACATTTAGTGATTAAATGTTAATCTAATGCTGAGTGTACTTAAGTTAGAGAGCAGTCATGGAATGTATTGACTATTGCTTACTACAATTACGCAGTTTAGGGGTGTAATTATACACAAAGATGGTATGGCATCAGATAAACAATAAACACAAAACTGATTCTTTTTTTTTTATTATTAAACACCAAATATTATTTACAAAACCGATTGTGAAACTGTCTACTCATAGGTTTCAAACTAAATTCATGGAGGGCTGCAGCTCTGCACAGTTTTGCCCAATCCTAAATCAAACACAGCTGATGCAACTAATCAAGGTGTTCAAGACTCTTGAGCTTTGATTAGGGTTGAAGGAAAACTGCAAAGCTGTGGTCCTCCAGAAACTGTATATGTATATGTCTATTCAATTAGAATTACAATTACAAATTTTCTGTTTACTTTTAAGTATATGTGTTTCTTTCTACTGCCATCTTTTTATGATTAAGTAATAAATGAGATGTTTATTCATGTTTATTTCCTGATATCACTGCTAAAGAGACTAAGAAAGAACCAAGCAAGCACTTATTGCATGTAAAAGAAGTCTGATAGATGTCTAAACAAAATGGCTTAGCTAAAACAAGGCTAAATTTAGGCTGTCATTGAAAATCAAATAGACATCTATGAACAGACTAGTGATCAAATATAAAAGAATAAATGGCTAGACATGAAGTCTGTTGATTCTGTCTATTTGATTACTTGTCTACTTTTGTGTTAATCTTAGATTTCTATTAAATTTTTACTGACAGCCCAGATTTAGTCTTGTTTAAGCCAAACAGACTAATTTTAGATGTCTATTAGACATCTGTTAAATACAAAATTGCTTAGTGGGAATGATCACATTCAGTTTCTCCATAGATAGCAAACTGAAAGACCCATATGGTACATTTTTGGTTCAATTACAGTTTGTGTATCATTACACCCTTAATACATTTGCATGCCCACTAAACTAGACAGACCACAATCTGCCTGTGAGCATGCAAATGACACTGACATGGGATCATCCGATTGCAGTATCTAGATATTACATATCTATGCATTAATACAGTCACATTTACCGTTGTTCAGCAAATTTTTATGAGCACAATCCAGATATTTCAACATGAATTTATGCATCTATTCACAGAAGGCTCAAAGTAATTGACTAATTTTAATTTCGCTTCTGTTTAAGCTTCTTCACATTGATAACGGTCATTTACTGCTCTCAAAATTTTGCTGAAACTTTGCGAATAGGACCGCACTATTAGAGTACAGGCTAATCTATGATCATATTGCCTGATGGAGACTCTTCCTCAAAGTTCAGTGTGGGAATGACGTGGTAGCCATAAGGTGGGCTTAGTCGTTTGCTGAAGGGAATGTGTGTTTTATGGTGTCGGATGAGGGAACTGTTTGGGGCAGGGGTGGCAGAAGGGCATGGGTGTAGTTTCTGGGGAGATGAAACACACTTGGGACATCGTAGGGGCCAGTCTGGGCATAAGAGCACCTGTCTGTCTCTTACACTGCTGCTGAACCTAGACCAGAAAGAGCAGCAGGGACTGGGGGACGAATGGCTCGTGGTAGTGACTGGGACACACAGACAGGCAGACACACCATTAAAAAGGGATGGTAAGACAAAATGCATGGTAAATGTAGAAGAATGCATATGCTGGATTGTGTGGAGCAGTACCATTTTTATCCATGGAATGAGGTTCAGACTGTTTCCTGCCGATATCTGCGAAAGAGCGTACGATGGGGATCCGGTTAGCCAGTTTCTTCTGGTTCTGATGGTGGTGCTGTTTAAGGAGAGCATTTCGGATCTTCTTCCTCACCTCCTCTCCCAATGGACCCGATGTCTCGTGCTGGTCCAAAACCATATCTTAAAACATATAATAAAAAAACATATAGCAAATTTTAGTGTAATTGAAGATTTGGGGGTTAATAAGACGTTAAATAATAATGTAAGAAAAAATGAAACTAATATTTGTATTTTAATACAGGCTCATTGGGAATATGTACTTATACACAGTGCCTAATCTGTGAATTGCGAGGTCCTAGAACAGATTGGGGTAACGGATCCGCCATGTTACCCGAGGATGTAGAGGTGTCGTGCACGAAAGTGGATTGGGTGGGGAAGTTGTTGCGGATGAAAGTGAAGAGGGTTGGGGGGTCACAGAAGAAAGTAAAAGTGAACAGCAGACGGTGGAGGAGGCGGTTGAGGATGGGGATTGGTATAATAAGGTAAAATTAAGCTCTGCTTATACAGTTCATATAGCTATATTTTTGTAAATCTGCAGGTATGTGCATATGTTTGCCTGGAAAAAACGAAGGCTATAGAGAAGTATGACAACAAGTTTTTTTTTTTCACACACTACTGATGTTTATAAAGACATATTATTGATAGACAACAGATTGTTTTATGCAGTTGCTCGCACAAAACTGAATATCAATCCGCAATCAAACACATTTTCCTTGCCCACTTATATTTGTATGGATAGCTTTTCCGATCAGTTTGCTCAGTAGCTTGCAATGTACACCGTTGTATATGTGATGTGGAGCAGACCAGGTTATAGTCTAAAAAAAAGAACAGTTTCAGAAAACAGATAAAAAACAAACAAACTGTGAAATCCTGGTAAATGTATATGCCATGATGGGCTTTTCATTTCTCACTTGCTTCCAACTACAACACTATTGGTTGGGTTTAGGGAAGGGTGTAGGTCAGTTGATCGCAAGGTGATACAAGTACAACAAGGCCAGACTTTTAGGGGTGTCAAAATTAATTGTTTCTTTGGTGCATCGTGATGCAGACGCGGACAATAAGGTATCGGTTTAGTAATAACCATAACCGGTTATTACTTACGTCATTTACCTCATATGCGCTCTGTCGCGAGGGAGGCGAGCGCGAGTATTTACAACGCTCTAACTACTTAAAACTCATAAACTGTGCACAATTTCACTGTGTGTGTTTGCTGGATCAGTCTTTCACTGACATTAACAGCAAAAACCCCTATTTCACTGAGATCGAGAGAATGAAAGTACTCCATTTCTCTCTCTCACACACACACACACACACACACACACACACACACACACACACATAGTGGCCCATTTGACCTGCTGGCGTGACTTTTCTTCTCCTCTCGGCTGTTTTACAGCATTACTTCTGGATACAGAAACGAGTGCGTGTCTGCAGAGTTTTTTCCACCGTTTCTATCATGCATCAGCCGCTGCCGCCTGCCGATTATCATTATCACTCATCTGTGAAGAGCGCAGTGCGCAAGAGCCCATCGCAACCGTTTTTGTTGAGGGTGTGACCAATCAAAGAGGTGTAAGAGAACTAGACAAGAATCAGAAAGTGAGCTGGATATTTATATTTGTTTATATTATTTGCTAAATGCTTGTGTTGTTTAAAGGTACAGTTTATATTTCTGACTGTTTGTATTAAATTACAAAATTGTATTACAAATAGTATATAAATATAAATATATTCATACATTTTAATACAAGAACTGCTGCTGTGAAGAAAATATAAAACTGTGTATGAAAAGCACCGCCAATGCACCAAAATATCAAATTGAACCGAATCGATGGCATGATAATCGTAACCGAACTGAACCGTGAGACTAGTGTAGGTTCACAGCTCTACTGACTTTTATTGGACACATACAATAAGGTAGTGTAAATGTAGTTTTTGAAATTCTCAAAACTGTAAACAGCTGCCTCTAGCGGATTTGTCAGCACAGGCTGCAAGCAAATGTCACTGGAGCAATGTATTTCATGGTTCGCAAACAAATGTAGCCTTGAGCACATATTTCCAATGAGCGTGGGTTGTTTTATTTAGGAAGGATGTGTTATATTGATTAAAAAGTGACATTGCATGTATGATTTGTTTTTTTTTTATCCTGTTGCTTATATATATTTTTTAGAAAATGTTTCTAAAATGTTTTCTACAAACCAAATAAGCAACACTGTTAATTACAAAAAAGTCATAAATTAGTGTGTAGGACCATGTGACACTAAAGTGGAGTAATGACTACTGAAAAAAAGAATCACAGGATTAAATTACATTTTAAAACATATTATAACAGAATTATTTTTTTAATTAAATTGTAATAAAACTTTAGAATTTAAAGTAGGCTACAGTATATACTGTAGTATCTACTTATGTAACAATATACTGTAACCATTTGCGCCCACCCCCCTCCTACTCCCTCCGGCCCGCAACTGATGTCAAAGATAAAAGGAGATTCGGCCCGCCAAAACATGTTTTTGAATCAACATCATTGTTGTGCAGTCGCATATAGCCACTTGTGGTTATATTTATATATATATATATATATATATATATATATATATATGTATATATATATATACATATACATATATATATATATATATATATATATATATATATATATATTTTTTTTTTTTTTTTTTTTTGCATTAAAAGAAAGATATTCAGAAGAACAATTGCCAGTAAAGTCACTAAAGTTACCCAATATGCTTTCTGCTGTTAAACTATTGGTTAAGCAACAATTTATTGTGACAGAATAATAATTAATATTATTTTGCCTATTATTAAATTGTAGTATTTTCATAGCAATTTATACAACCCTTTCGATATGTACAAAAGAGAAAGAAGAAGCTTTGACTGCGTATACTCAGGGGGAACAATGCCTGAGTGCATCAATTACATCAGGTTTAAACCCCTGATGTAGATAAACAGTAAACAAAAAATGAGTCACATGGTGTACAAAACTTACGTATAAAAACGGTAGTGACAGTAGCTAATTTGGTGTGAAATTCCCTTCTATTTTAAAAAGCAAAACAAAATATATTAAACATCATTGCTGTTCTGTCGACATGAATAAACATGTTTGCCAAAATCACAAATTCTCAAAATCCACACCATTTTCTAAATTCTATCATTTGAAATGGAGTAATCTAGATCTGGGCACAAAGCTAAATGGAACATTAACTGCTTTTGCTAGCTTACATAAGAAAACCAAGTAGCTTAAATGCTTATTTCTTTATATCTATGAGAAAGCCCTTTTGGTTTGGTACCTGCGATCTCCTCCAGTGAGCTGGCCCTCATGTCCAGCATGACGGTGCCATTAAGGATGCAGCTCCGGAGCTCAAACAGACTATGAAGGGACAGTGTAGCCACATACGGTTTACTCCACCTCTCTCCTCCATCCTCCACATCTTCCTCAAACTTCAGCCATCTAGAAACAAAAAAAAAAAGGGAAAGAAAAAGAGATAAAGAAAATGATTATTAAATTAGCTTTCTTATTTAGCTCCAATACCACAAACTGCCATTGCATTAGTTGTAATGGAAATACACAGAGATGCCATTCCAAACCACAGATGTATCCTCTTAAGTAGTTGTGATGTCAATATATTGATTTAAATCACTTTTATTTCTCAGTTATCTCTTTGCTGTAGGTCAACAAACTCTCTGTAGTTGCATATGTTTTGGTTGCGACGTCCAAAAAAATAAAATTTACTCATTATTTACTCTCCCTCAAGTGGGTTCAAAGATTTACAATTTCTTTTTTAATTTACACAGAAGATCTTTTAAAGAATGCTAAAATTTCGCTAACATTGAAGGTACAGCACAACCAGAAAATCTTAAATATATAAGACAATATATATTATATATAAGCTTAATGTTACCAGTTTCCAACATTTCTAAAAATACATAACATGAGATAGTCAAGCAGGTTTGAAAGAGTATAAGGTGAGTAAATGGTGGCGTTTCTTATTTTCAGAATTCAAAACAATTGCTTATTGATATAACTATGGTGACCCATACTAGGAATCTGTCCTCTGCATTTAGAACAGCTGAGTGCATACACACATTAGGAGCAGAGAGCAGTGAGGACACACGCACATACTGTGGGCACACAACCAGAGCAGTGGGCAGCCATTTGCTGCAGAGCCCAGGGAGCTATTGGGGGTTTGGTGCCTTATTCAAGGGCAACTCAGTCATGGGTACTGAAGGGGGAAGACGGCAGGGGTGTGAAAATAATTGTTTCTTCAAGGCACTGTGATGCATATGTGGACGATTCGATATTGGTTCAGTGATGGATCAAAATTGGTGCACTGATGTCATTTATCTCATGAGTGCTGTGTTGTGGTACCATACTATCGTGGGGGAGACGAGACGCAGGTAATTTAAATGGTCATACTAAAAAAGGCAACAACTGTGCACAATTCATTGCGTTTGGGTTTGCTGGTACAGTTTTTCACTGACACTGAAGTTACAGCAGAACCCAAAAGCCCCAATTTCATTGATTGAGGACATTTTGACCTGGTGGCATGACTGTGAGTAAACATTTCCTTCCGCTCTCGACTGTTAAAGCAATCTTTTTGGATTCAGGCACGAGTGTGTCTAAAGAGTGATTTTCTCCACTGCATTTATCAGAGGATTCTTATATGATATGTGTAGCTGCTGATGAATCGCTAATAGTTTAAGCCAATCACAGCCATTTCTGTTGACTGCTAAACACAATAGCCAATCATAAGTGTTTAAGAACTCACTCGTCAGTGCTCAGAAATAAAGAATTACCCGTTACTTTTGTAAATTCGTTGTAAATGGACTACACAGTAAACCCCCCTATTACTAAAGATTTTAAGTGACTATAACTTGACATAACTTAAAATACAAAGTTTTGGCATCAAAACCTAAACAGGTGTGTTTAACTGACTCATTAGGCAGCAAAAAACTTTTAATTAATATTTGAAGTTCTCTGAACTTAATTTTTTTTTTTTTTAAATGTATTACCAAGTCTCTGTTTAAAATGATTGGTTGCACTTGAATTTCTGCTATGACAACCATGCTGATTGGTCGATATATGTTATATGACACAAGGTAGTCAAAATTTTGCTGAAGCGCAGCAGGACAAAGGCACTACCTGAACCCATCTGATGAAAGGGAAAAGTTAAATTAGTAAGTAGATATTTAAATGCTTATATTTATTTTCCCTAACTGATTTACATGCAGAGGTGACACGGCGGCACAGTGGGTAGCGCTGTCGCCTCACATCAAGAAGGTTTGAGTCAGTTGGTGTTTCTGTGTGGAGTTTTTATGCTCTCCCTGTGTTGGTGTGGGTTTCCTCCAGTTGCTCCAGTTCCCCCACAGTCCAAAGACATGCACTTTAGGTAAATTGGGTAAGCTAAATTGTCCGTAGTGTATGAATGTCTGTCCTCGTTCTCCAGGTTTGGGGTTGGGCTAACGATCCACCTCGTGAAAATTATATGTTACGAAACACAAACATGGTGTGGCTAAATCTCACCTTCAATACAAAAGGCCCTAGGAGTAAGTGAGTAAAGAATATAACAGCTGAAAAATTTTGAAGTTTAGTCTATTAGCAATTTTAAGTTATCTATACTTAAACATTTAGGGTTAATTCAATAAAGAGACCACTTTTGGCCAACTCAATTAATTGATTTCCCATTACTCAAACGAACTGAGGGAATCACTTTCCTCAAATCATTTGAGTAGTCTCAACCTATTAGGGTTTACAGTGCACTTGTCATCTCTACCTGTTGTTATGTTTGACACATTCAAGAAATGTGTTTTCTTTGAGCAAGAAAAGTATTAAAAGGCAAAATTGTATTCTTGTGTTGTGAAGTTAAATTAAAAACTGTTGATGGAAAGCATTGTTAATGCATCCTGATGCACCGTAACATCGAATTGAACCAAATTCATGAGATGATTATCGAAACTGAACTTAAGTGCGAGACCATTGTAAGTTCACAAGAAAACAATGTTATTCATTTGTTCTCCCAATCTACAATTCCTGCCACTAAAGAGAATTGAGCATGCACACTTTGAATTACAAATGTGAAGGGGGAATTCTCCTCGACAACCACCAGTGTGCAGCATCCACTTAGCAACACCAGCAATAGGGCTCCTGAACGAACATCCGCTTATTGTTGGAAACAATACAGTGTGATGAAGCCATATTATAGTTTGCTAGGGTTACAGTCCTATTCTATTCAAAGCACATGTGTATATCCAAAAGATGGTGGTTTTGACAGCATAGTGTTCCAATCCCTATACTGAATTACATCACAATTTAAACATGTGCAAAGATTCACAAGAATGAAGTGTCCGTGACTTGTGCCCTTCAACATCCTTCATTGAGAAGTGAGGCACTTTGAAGGACCCTTTGGATCACTTTAGATTGGATCGACCCTTGAATTCTCTGAAGGACCATTAGGAGGTTAATTTTTCCCATTTGGAACAAAGCATTCGTCTCTTCGAAATAGATGTGAAGATGAATAGAGATGAAGTTAGGTCTTAAAGCTTCCTGCTCCTTTCTTTAATGAATTGAACTAAACATTATAATTTAGAGTGGACTTAACTTTTAACAACCTAGAGATGTTGTTTGGTAATCAAACCAGTCATGGCACAATTGTCCTACATGCAGCTACCATCGCTATTAAAATCTCTTGTGAAATCTGGTTATTTATCAGCAAATAAATGTCTAATGCTGGGTTTTACAGTGTGATTAGGGGTTTCAAGTGTAGATTAGATTACATGGCCTACATCCATACAGTGTAATCTAGAGCAAGTGACGTGATACAAATGTTTGCTACTGTATATGTGTGTTGTGTGAAACTGGCATGACTGGGATCAGCTGATGAACCTGAGAGTACTGTGGTTCTCAATATTGTTGCTGGGGACATGATATGTGCACAAGGGAAACCCTGATTGGCACTATCTGAAGTAATTTGGGAAATAATGATGTTGTAAATGAGACCAACAGAGACCAACGCTATTTTCCATTCTTGCATCAAGCCACAAGCACAAACAAAATTGCACGAGACCATGTACAATGTCCCGAGCCATTCGATTCACACCTAAATTAACACTAGAACTACCAAGAGTCAAATTAACAGTATACTTTCCACATACGCTACTTTTTTCCTGTCTCTTTGAATATGCATGCCTCTCTCGCCTAGCAACTCTCTGCTAACAAAGACATAACTGATAGAAATAACAATTTCATTCCCGCTTGACAAACAAAGGGAGGTATGAACATTTGTGGGTGGTCTAGTAACTCTCAATTATAGTCTATATTACCAAAAGATTGTATTTCTAGTAATTATTTAATAAAATATGATAACAGACATTCAGAGCTTAATTCGTGACAAAAACTCAAACTTTAACATGACAAACATTTTAATTTGTTACAATTCTATATGAACATATATCGAACACTAGTAGCTCCCGTGTTAAAGCAACACCATGCAACTTTCTCTCACGGCTCCTCCTTGTGGTTGATAAGCGCAATTGCCTTTTACAAGCAAAGCACCTCCTGTTGCAGTCATGGGCAATTCAATATATGCCCATGTATCTACTAGCAGGGGTGTGTGGGGCTGTGTTTACAGGGTCACTTAACCTAAGTTGCATGCGTGATTTCAGGTTACGGGCAGTTCTGGTAGCCACAGCAGCACAATTCATTAAATTGTTTCAACCACTGATATCATTTTAAAGACACTGGGTCTCATTCACTCAACATGCATACACAAAACTTTTAGGACAACGTGTGTGTAAGTAAATTATTACAAATAATTCATGATTCATCAAAATCTTTCAAACTAAAATTTAGTTAGGGCGCAGTAGGTAGTGCTGTCACCTCACAGCATAGCGTATAAGTGTGAATGAGTGTGTATGGATGTTTTCCAGACATGTGTTGCAGCTGGAAGGGCATTTATGTTAGCCTACTTTATATTACTGATATGTCTGATAAGCTTTTTCTATTAATGGACAATGCATATTGATGTTTCACAATGTTTTGAATTACAATATTTAAATCTACCAAGCTTAGTTTACAATGTTTACATCGCTCTACTTGCGTTAAATCTAAATCCCAAATGTCAGAAATGACAACTGATTGTTAAGATTTAATTAATGTCAGTTGTAATGTTATTGATTAGTGGATTTACTTGACAGATTTCACTCATTCATTTTCCTTCTGCTTTTTCGCTGGTTTACCACAGCGGAATGAACCGCCACTTACTTGGCAGATGTATTTTTAAGTTTAGGTGGTTTGTGTAGAGTGTTTTATGTTTGGAAAAAAATATTTCTTATTAACCTAATTACACTTTGTATAATGTACTAATGTACGTTTTGTCGTATCCTGATAAGTGGATTTAGAGGTTTTTGCAAAATAAAGCTGAAGAGGATTTAGCTGGTTTTGACGCAAAAGATAATCTAATTTGTTAAAAAGAATTGTCAAAAGTGACATTTATTAAAGAAAAGTTATTTTATTTACTAGCTAATAACATTTTCATTACATATAAAATTAAACTTCTGAGCGTAATAGAAAATGCTCATTTACAAAAAAAGAGGACTGATGGATTAAGAAGGTTTTGCATCTAAACTTTTCATATTTTTATTTCTCTTTGTACCTGGCCGTCTCTTTCCACTCTGCATCCTCTCCCTCCTTCAGGCAGATCTCGTCCAGTTCTGTGAAAAGAGCGTGTGGAATGTGTTCCTCATCATCCTCCATTCCCAGCAGGAACTGCACACGCTGAGACGGTGTGTCCGCTACAGAGAAACAGAGAGAACTTTCAGCTTTTACATCAAGTTTTCAATTCTTTCTCTGGAGTGACAATCTTACTGTATGAAGGTGATTCTCTGCCATCCTCTGTTCCAGAGTCCCTTTCTCGTGACCTCTTCCTGTGGCGATGTCCATGATGGCGATGCCGTCTGTGTGATCTCCGACCCAGAGGTACATGAACACCAATGTAGAGGGTACGATGGCCTGTCAGGGACAAACAGATAAGGACAGTGTTAACAAAATGTTCACAAAACAGAAATATCTACAGTTTGCTGCAAGGAAAAGGAACCAGGAGCAAGAGTCTGTCTTATTTAGTGGGAAAAAAGGCTTTGCTACATTGCATTACAAAATCTAATAATAGGTTCAAACAAATCAACATTTGCATGAGATTGCTCTGACCACTGTTATTATGAGCTGCTCACATCTAAAGATTTATTTTGACATTTATTTATAGCAATGCACTATTTGTGGGTTAATAATCAGTCTAAAACCTTCATGTTTTCACAATAATCCTATGATATAATAAATATGCTGACCAACTGATGAAAAATGTTGTTTTATATAAACATTATAAACATTTTAAAAATACTGCATTTTGGCTCTCATTCATGTTGTTTTCGGCTTAGTCTCTAATTTATCAGTGGTCGCCACAGCAGAATGAACTGCCAACTATTCCGGCATATGCTTTACACCAATAGCAGATGCCCTTCCAGCCGCAACCCAGTACTGAGAAACACCCATACACTATCATTCACACACACACTCATACACCACGGCCAATTTAGTTTATTCAATTCAACTATACTGCATGTCTTTGGACTGTGGGGGAAAGCGGAGCACTGGAGGAAACCCACACGAACACAGGCAGAACATGCAAACTCCACACAGAAATGCCAACTGGCCCAGCCGGGACTTGAATCAGCGACAGTGCTAAACACAAAGCCATCATGCTGAACCTATTTTTGGCATTCTTTTTTTTTTTTTTGGCTTAGTCTTTTTATAAATCCGGGGTCGCCACAGCGGAATAAACCGCCAACTAATCCACTTTTTTTTAGCCTACCCAATTTACCTATACCACATGTCTTTGGACTGTGGGGGAAACCGGAGTACCTGGAGGAAACCCAAGCGAACGCAGGGAGAACATAATACAACAGTATATAATAATTTAATAGTACTATCAGTTTACCAATGTTTACTTCATTTTAACACCACTTTTCCCTCCCCTCCCCATCAGCGGCAGTGACTGTAATTAGATGTTGTAAATCCAGTAAATCCAGAAAAATAATATCAACTCAATAAATAAATAAAAACACACATACAGAATAGAACATTATATATTATTATTATATTAATAGTAATATATTATTATTATATTAATAGTAAAAAATAAATAAATGTATTAAAAATTAAATAAATACAATACCAATACAATATTAATAATACATAAATAAATCAAATATGAATATTACACTTTTACCATGCGTCTTACCACAATGACCTTATTCATCCTCTGAAAAAGCTAAATAATTTACCCATTTTTTCTGATAAACATCCAATTTAACAAGTAATCTCGATGCCATTTTTTCATATGCTGCCACCTTCCCCAATTCCGTAACCCATTCTTACAATATTGTTGGATCTGCTGAATGCGATCCCCGCTAGGCATGGGACAATAATCGGCATACCGCGGCTTGGAAAAGTCCAGGTTTTAAAACCGCCAAACTTTTCTGTAACACCGTTTCTAAGGTATGTGAAAGATTTTTTTTTGTTGTTGTTGATTTTAGGACAACAGTATCTCCAGCAGAAAAGATCTCCAAAGATGCCTTTTTAAGCTGTAGAATGTAAAGAAATCTGTGTTTTTGAAACTAATGAAAACAGCAGAAGTCTAAGATTCATTTTTTTTATTATTTAGCCTGACATGTTTACTGCTCCAAAATACTTTAAATCTTTCAACAACAAAAAAATTGTTTTCAAAAGGGATTTATTTATTTATTTTTTTTCCCACCCAGACATATAAAAAGAGCCTATTTTAGGGCAGTAATCACAATACCGTGATACAGTGAAACCGTGATATTTTTATTCAAGGCTATCATACGTCACACTAGGCCCATGCCTAACCCTCATAATGATTTGTCTTCCAATCCTAATACTTATTTGAATCCACTCAGTCATCTTTACACCAGATCCCAACACGAACGGGTCTCCCAGTACATATATGTGAGGACAAAACAAAAAGCAGCATCCAGTTGTAATTTTAAGTCATGATCATGATCACAAAACACAAAGAAAGATATTCTGAATAAATTTAGGAATTAAACAAAACTGCATCCTTTTAAATTCCCATTTAAAAAATAGCCATGTTTTTTTAAAACAACATGAGTGCGAGTAGGGCGACGCAGTGGCGCAGTAGGTAGGGCTGTCGCCTCACAGCAAGAAGGTCGCTGGTTCGAGTCTTGGCTAGGTCAGTTGGCATATCTGTGTGGAGTTTGAACGTTCTTCCTGCGTTCATGTGGGTTTCCTGTGGGTGCTCCGGTTTCCCTTACAGTCCAAAGACATGCGGTACAGGTGAATTGGTCAGGCTAAATTGTCCGTGGTGTACGAGTGTGAATGAGTGTGTATGGATGGCGGTTCATTCCGCTGTGGCGAACCCGGATTAATAAAGGGACTAAGCCAAAAAAGGTAATGAATGAATGAATGAGTGTGAGTAAATAACACAAAATGCTATTTTTTGGAGTGAACTGTAACTGAAAGGGTTGCTTTAGTCCTTCATCTTAAAGTGTCCAGCAGATGTAGAAGGCCTGTTGTGCAAGATTCAATCTCTGCAGTCATATAATCAGATTCGCTGCTTCTGTACTTTGTGTTTCTGTTTTTGTTTACAGTCTCAGATTAAACTATAGCATTAAATCCCTCTTTCTCTCTCTCTCCCTGCAGCTCTCTGTGTCTCTCTGAAGAGAGATGCAGCCTGACAGAGTGTGTCGGTGGAGAGAGAGCACATATGTGTGTTTGTGTCATTCCAGCCCTGGGCGCCGACAGAGAGTAGAAGGAGTATGGCAAGCTCTTTTAACATTTAATCTATAAAACATACTACTATCGTCAAGATCGTACAGTACAGCTGCTTTATTTTTAGTTAGTAGTAATTATTAGTTCACCCTCATGTTTATTATTAGTTCACCCTCATGTATTAGTTCTCACCCTCATGTTTACATTTGTGAACATAAATGAAAATATGATGGGAAATCTGAGCTCCCTCGTCCTTCATAGCCACTGACGTAATAACTCGGATGTGTCTGGCCTTTGTTTCAAACACTTTGGTAGTTCTACTACTACTAAACAGCACTTATAAATGTGTGTAATATATTGACACTATGGAGAAAAATCTGCTGTATAAATTTGTTAATTGCGGAAAAAATATGCGCATGTTATCTATACATTATGCGAGCACAAAAGTATTCTGATGCTTGATAAACTGAACTTGAACTGTTTTGAGAGTTTTTTTGGGTATTTTTCTTGAATTTGAACAAGTCGGGATTCTTGCTGTCTATGGGCGATGAGGAAGCTCTCTAATTTCATCCAAAATATCTTAATTTGTGTTCTGAAGATGAATGAAAGTCTCTTGGTCTTGGAACGATATGAGGGTGAGTAATTAATAACACAATTTTCATTTTGGATTAACTAACACTTTAGTACGGGTGGCCAAACTTTTTTCGTAAAAGGCTAAAAAACCAAACTTGATTGAGATCTGTGGGCCAAAGTTAAATATACCAAACTGTATTACAATAAATTTGCCATGGGTGATTTAACAATTTGTTGGCTAATATTTAAAAACAACTAGAAAACATTGCTTTAAACTGCAAATTAATTAATGATGCAGTATCATTTTGAATGTTTTAGAATGAATTTATTATAGGAAAAACATAAACAATCCCATTTATAACACAATGGAGTTCAATGCTGAATACACTAGTCGAGCTGCTCCTGCCTTTGCCTTAATTGGCTTGCTGATGTCTTGTGCATTGTCCTCTATCTGTCAAGTGACATTATTTACATTTAAAAAGTCTGATTCAGTTACAACATTTAATTGTAGTTGTTTTTGTAGCTCCACAATTAAACAAAGAAACAAAAAGTTACATTTAATTTGAAATGACGATCTCTTTCAAAGACATTCGCTCCAAACAACTCCCCATCATTCTGCCTTTCTTTTCAGATAGGATTGTGGGCCAAACCAAAGGTTAATATGGGCCAACTTTGGCCCACGAGCCCTACTTTGGGGACCTCTGCTTTAAGTATTGGTACTTTTTCTTTGCCTAATATTACTTATACATCAGCTACTACTATTACTAATTCTTTAGATATTTGTGCCTGTCCATTAGAACTAGTACCTTTAAAAAAGATATTCACCATACCAGTACTTATTCATTAAATAGCTATATTTATTCATTAAATACTAATACTTGTTAATTATAATATGGAAGTTACAATAAGATACTACTACTTGTTCACTTGATACTATTATACTTTTCCATAATAAAAATGAAATAGTCTGCTGTTACTAAAAACATTTTAAATGTTTGCCATTGACTTCTACAGAAATCTGTCATTGAGGTGTCGGCTATTAAGTTTTGACTAGTCTGTTTTTAAACTGTCATACATATTTTATAACTAATGCATATTTTTATAGACTACTAGTTATTTACTGAGTACTAAAATCAAAGATTATAGAATACACAAGACATGTCACTCGTATAATTTTGAATGGGGAAAAGTGTAACAGTCAATATGGCGAATCAAGCCCCGCCTTTTAGTACAGACGCCAATCAGGGATCGATAAATGGTGAATAAAGCCCGACTTCATGCACAGGAGCCAATCAGCGTTCGCTATAGAATGACAATTTTCCGGGAGGGGAGCTCAGACCACACGTGAGTTTCTGCAGATTCTTTGTGATACGAATGTTTAGAAATGAAACTAAATACACAGCAAAGTAATTCAGTAATTCAGAGTAAAGTGTTGAAATTCTAGAGTTAGATAAAGATAAAAACAACCCTCTCACCATTAGAAGTTGATTTGCCTCCTCGTCATACAGAGTAACATGTATCTACCTTTGTAGATAACCCTTGTTTTCGAGAAACTAATCAGTGTCTGAAATCTCGCCATTCACCCTCATTCACCTGGCCCTTAAATTAGTCAATTAGTTTAGTCCACTAGA